CTATTATACCTGGTAGTAACTGCATGGTTAGTTTTGTAGATCTATATTTATTAGAGAACAAAGTTCACTTACTAATAGGACCTTTTTTGGCCTTGTGAATTTCTGAAGAATCAAGTCTGCTCAGTCTTCATTGAAAATATGTTAAAATTTCACTTGGAACCTCAGTGACTGCATACCAATTAAAAATGACATAATTTTCTCTCTAGTCCATGTATTAATAATTATGAAGTCATGAGTTGCCTCATTTTCCTCAAATCCTGAAAAAACTCTTTAAAAACGGTCAAAAATTGAAGCTGTTTCTCAATATTTTGCATAGTCCCCAACCTCTGATATAAATTGTTTATTTATATATTGAAAGAACTGTTTCATCAGATTTTTATCCATGAAATTTTTTTTTGGATCGTGGGGTGGCTCATATTTTAATTATTAACTGAAGATGCTCAAATTCGTCCATTTTCTTCAAAATTCAGGAATATTGTAATTTCACAAAGCCTATTTTGCAATACCTGAACCCTCAAAGGAAACTTTTTTATGGGAAATGGAAGCAATATGTCTCTTCTTTATATTGAGGTTTAAAATGGAATCTTGGGACTTTGTCAGTTAATTGGTATATATAGGGACATGCAGAGCCATTTTAAGGAGTTAGTGGATTTTTTTTATGCCACAAAGAAGTGAATCCACATTGAATTCACTTTTTTTTTTTTTTTTTTTTTTTTTTACAAAATCACATGGATTTTTAATAAAAAATTATTTTAAAAAATTTTGCATACAATTTCTTTGAACTCTGAGAATTGTTATTTAAAAACCCCAAAAGAAATAATTCAGACTGAAACATTATCATTATTAAGGGAGATCTGTCAAGTTCCCCACAAACCATAAAGTTTGGTATTTTTTTAAAAAATATTTTTAATTGATGCAGGAAAGAATGGGTTATACATTTATTTTATTTTTTATAAACAATTTTCAAAATTATTGCCCATCTTTAGCAGACTGTAGATCTGTAGAAAAGTTGAAAGTACCAGGGTAGTAGAAACAAGACTCAAGTTTGGAAAAAATGTGTCAGCTTCAGGTATTTTTGTAAAACATATTATTTTATTTAACAATTTCCAGCTAAATATAGTGACACATATCCTATGTAAATGGTACAAGAAAAACTTATTAAGTTTGTTGATTATATAAAACCCAGGTATTTTATCACCAACCATGCAGTTTTACATTTGTTTATACACCTAAGGTATGGTGTAACCAGTCCTTGTGTACCTTGTGTATACACAAGTTAATCACTGAAAACTGTTGATCATCACTGATGATTACCTGAAATGTGGATATATGCATGCATGCAAACAAGAAATCTTGTACACAAGAGAGTTCTCCATATGTCACTGAAAATAGATGTATGCTAGCTATCATTTCTATATTCCATATAACTTCTCTTAATTGAGATGATCATGTTCCGTACAATCTATAGACATTCATACAATGCCATGAATGCATGATGATTTATTTTTTAATAAATGTATCAATCTACCGTAATATAGAGAAATTTAATAAGTTTGAATTCATTTCCATAACAAAGAAACTCACAACCTTGGACTCCCTTTTTACATGTACATGATTGTTTTTATATTGTATTAAGGAATAAATGCTATGAAAACAATGAACGAAAATGTTTTGTTGAGAAAAGTTTTTGTGTTTATATATATATATATATTTAGTTTTTCTAGTTTATTTCCTGCGATTTTTACCCAGGAATTTTTTTCAAAAGCAGTGTAGTTTTAGTAAATTAACTGAAATTATTGTTGTTTACTTACATTTGGATATATAAGGAGTGTGAATTCAAAAATTGGAAATTTTGGAGAAAATTCAGTTTGTTTTAACATATTTTTCCAATTATAAGATCATAATATGTATATATACATTCTAGTTGAATACTTTTTAAGTATATCAATAGAATATACAAATCCATAGAAAAGTTTCAGAATTAATTTTTATTAACCAGTGTTAACAGAATTTTATTTGAAAAATTAGAACTTTTTATTTAAAAAGACAAATCTCCACCAAAAATTTGATCATATACAGACAGTCAGACCATAAATTTAACTCATGTAGAAAGTTTAATAAATTACGTGTTAAAATTAATTCCCAACAAATTACTTAATATCAATTTATATAAGGCAATTCTGAAAACTAAATAAGGCAAAAAAAGAATTTTGAAAATGTTATTTTTTTTAAATACAAGATTTGGAAGTGATTCTATTTAACCTCGATCATTTTGTTGCACTAGCTCCTGACTTCTGATATGTTTTCAAAAAAACATCATCTTAAATTTATAACACACTCATTTTTTTTTATTTTGTAATTAAAGGCACTTCATTGTTTGGAAATTGTAAACCATTTATGGGTAGTTTTTCATACTTTCTAGACTTGAATGAGGATGCAAGTTTTTTTCCCCCAAATCATCTATAGTTGCACTTCTGACATAAATAATTTATTTTACCTGACCCCTGGGCCACAAATTTTACAATTGATAGAGAGCTCAATTAATGCTTATTACATTCATGTCAACAGTTTGACTATTGGATTTCCAAGAGTAAAGAAGAAGATTTTAACAATTGCATATACAATGTATTTTGATGGTTTTAGTCCCATCCTTCAAGCCCAGAAGGGGAGAGGGGTCAAAGACCATGAAATTCAAAATTCATGTTTCCCTTTACCTATAAAAACTGGTTAACTTTACCCATAAAACTGGTTAAAATTGGTTCAGTGGTTCAAAAGAAGCTGAAAATTTCAACATTTTATGACCAATGAACAACAAACATAAACAAATCACAATTGGTAGGTCAACTGAATGACTCAGGTGACCTAAAAAAAATTATATTTACAATAAACAGTTTACTTTGTAATTAACAAATGAACATAAATCATATTTAGATTTATTAAGGTTGAATGGAATGTCATTTATTAATCTAAGTGGTTCTTTGGGTTTGTTTGTTGGGATTTCATCATGATCCTAAATGTCCCTTGGGGTTCTTTTATTCTTTATGTTTTGTATTATACAAATATACAATAAACAGTTATAATTCATAATTAACAAGTGCATTTAAACCATGAAAAGATTTTTTAAAAGTTGAATTGAGTGTCATTTGGATTTTCTTTCAGGTACCTTGGCTTATCCTAGTGGTACAGGGGTTATCATTAGGATTCTTCTTGGATATCAACTTTTGGTTTGTGTATTGACTACTGCAATACACAATTAACCATTAACTTTTTGTACATCATAAAAAGGTACAATAATTTAACTGTTCCTCTGAACTATAAATGCATAATTTAGCTTAAATAAGTATATTTACTTTTAAATTTTTAACTTGGATAACTGCTCTACATTTAAGACAATTAAAGTGTTAAATTGCCTTTCAAAAACATTTTTTTCTAATTTACAAGTGCATATAAACCATATTTAGAATAATTAAGGGTTGTATATGGTGTCCCTGGGGTACCTTGTGGTATCCCTGGGGTTCCTTGTGGTATCCTTGTGGTTCCTTGTGGTACCTTGTGGTTCCTTGTGGTAAAAAGACGCACCCTACGCATATGAATGTTTAAATTGTTACAAAGGGAGTCTAAAGGAAATACATTACTAAGATAAATATTTCTACATGACTGAACACACATACTGACAGCAAGCTTGATTACTATAACATCAAATAGAAATAGTGATTGGTAACAGTTGAACAGAAATACACTGTACTTAATCAAAATCTTGATTCAATCATGCTAAACCAGTATAGGCAATTCTTGCAAGTTTCACAATATCTTGTCAGATGTTGGATTTCATAAGTCAACTTTTGAATATAATATATCTCTAATGTTATGAAATACACAACAAAACCTTTATTTATCGATCAAAAGAATATTCAAAATCTGTTATTAGCACTTTTTATACTCTTTATCTTAGTATAATAAATGTTGTATATTCAAAATCACACTTACTTCTATAACAACAAATAAAAATAACACAAAATCTTTATTTATTGAAGAAGTTGCCTATCCCGTTAGTATAAATATGTCTTTGGATAAACTAACTTTTCATTTATGTTTTGAAAAAAGAAAAATTATTTCTAAAATATATCTTCAGCAAAATCCACTGAAATCTATGAAAAATATTGTACATATTATGATAGATAGAATGTTCTATCGTTAAAATGATAAATGTCCTACAGACCCGGTTTAACAATAGAATGCGTTCCGTGCATTGTCATTGTAGCAAAGAAAATATGGGAGATAACTCTTAACTCAGTGCATTTACTATGAAAAATCCCAAGAGTTCCGAATGTCACCATGGTGTGTAAATTCAAAATGAGTAAAAAACGTTGGTGAAAAAGTGTTGAATTCCTCCATTATATGGATTTAATTTTTAGATGAAAGGTATTTACAGTCTCAAAAGGGTTTGTTATGATTAATTTGACTGTTATTTTCAATGCAACTTCATTAATTTTCTCCAAAATCATTTCGGAGTGATTCTGCAATTTTCTGCTACATTACGGGTATATGGGAGGCATTCTAACTGTGGTGAGGGCCTGTCCCGAGACACAGTTAGATTATTCTAAATAATATTAAGACAAAAAATGTTTTGGGAGATGAATTTAAAAAAATTAAAAAGCATACACTGACAAATGAAATATCCTTGACTGTATACTTGCATGTCTCTGTAGCCAGATGGTTACTCTGTTTATTGCATTTTTACCTGAACCAAGTTCATATCATATTTCACCGAGATAATTCGGGATATATACTTAGTCTACATGTTATTGTGCTATGAAGTCATTTGTGTAAGCAAACTGTGACTTTCATGTGAATTCTTAAACGAACATCTGGATAATATTATCTAGTAACATCTTTGGCTTTGCCTTAGCTTCGCTTATCTAAAAAAAAAAAAACCAACACATCTTTAATGGATGGAGAATAAAATCAACAGTCAAAAACTGGTCAGTCCTACAATTTACCTTAATCAGTCATCGTTGGTGTAATAAGGTGAGAAATTCCAGTATTCTAACAACTACCGAAGAAGAAAAATTCTAATAAATAAGTAATCCTTTTCCATCCAAAATCAACAGGAAACCAGCTAGAGAGTTAACTTCCGGTGTAGGATAATGGCCGCAAAAGCCATGCATATTCCTTATCAGGAATAAAATTGTACATATAACCTTATGCCGAGAAAATATGCATTATTTTTAAAATTATTCTTAAAAGTATGTTGTAATTTTAAACAAATATTCTATTAAACGTGCCAAAAAAAAATTAGCTATGTATATGTATCATGTAGAACTTTAGTGCCCCCCCCCCCCCCCAACGATGATGTGCACAGCGGCCTTGACATTGTGAAGATGCCTACAGAATAAATAATAGTGAACTCCCAATGTAGCAAAGTAAAAAATAAAACTAAGCTACAAATACTTTTAAACGTGTTCAACTTTTTTTTTAACTCTCTACCATGTTTGTTAGTCCCCCCCCCCCCCCCCACTCCTTCATGAAAAAATATATATTCAGTAAAAATTCAGCAAAACATTGCTGTGACGTCATATTCCTTTATTCTTGCAGTCCAAAAGTTTACCCGTAGCAGCCCAATAATAACAATTATCATTCCACTTTAAAGCTATATATATAAATACAAATAAATACAAATATTTATTGGCGCAAACACAATTGCAATAATTGGCAAAGGCACAACACATTATAAGAATCATCAATTGTTCATACATAAATATACAATATTTTAGTATAGAATGTGAGGCTATACATAATTATAAATCATACATCATTTGTATAATAATTATGTAATGCAATCATTTCTAGATACAAGACATTTTTTAATAAGTGAGTGTGTTATTTTCAGTATTTCTGGACTATGGCTATTAAAGCAAAGCTTAACTTTTTGAGTATAAGACATATTTGATATTTTTCCTTGAAAAAAATTCATCAAGTTCCTTTCAAAAGTTAACCTATGATTATTGTATTTATGGCAGCTGAATAGAAATGAAATTCATCTTCAATCTCCCTGTGTTGCAAATATTACAAAATCTTTTATCTGTGGGTATAGACAAATGTCTCCCTTTTTCTATGGCAGGGTTATGTGCACTAAGTCTCAACCTGCTAATAATTGATCTTTCTGTTTTCTCTTTTAATATATCAGTGTATCCACAGCATTTGAAATTATGAAAAACAACTTGATAAAATTTTAGTTTTTATGAATTATGAATCTTTGCATATTCCTCTTGTAAGCATTGATCTCATATTCTTTATTTTATGTTTCTCAGAAGTGATTTTATTGAATTTTCTTTTTTGGTAATGAATGAAAATCCTAACATTGAAAATTGAAAAAATATTTTTAGTCCATGAGTTTGTTTTGACTGTTGCTTTATAGATTTTAAATACTAAAGTATTCTTGGGAGTAAAAAGATGGTTCCAAAATTTTATACTTGGAAAATGAATTCTTGTCCACAGGGGATGTCTACCTAAATCTGCTCTGCAGGGGGCATTAGTAGTTTTACAATGTACTCCTAAAATTTCCTTAATAAACTTCATGTGAAATTTTTCAATTATAGAATTTTCACCAATGTTATTATAAATACCCCAGATCTCACAGCAATAAAGAAGAACTGGTGTTATAATTGAGTCAAAGAGTTTTTCCAAACGTTTGCATGGATTATCCAAACCAATGGTTTTCTTAATCTTAAAATAGGCTTTTCTGGCCTTTTCCATAAGTACTGACACAGCTAAGTTCAGATTTCCATTACATTTCAAGGCTAATCCAAGATAACAAAATTTTGATACTGTTTGAAGAACACTTCCATTATATGTAAACTCATTGATGCAAAATTTACCATTTGAGTTAAAAATAAGGACTTTAGATTTCTCAACATTGACCAGTAGTTTCCAATTAGAACAATATGTTTCAAGAATGTTCAAACAATTCTGTAACCCAGTTTTACTTTCAGATAATAAAACAATATCATCAGCATATATATGACGTATCTGAGCTAAAAAATAAAAACACGAGATTGAGTGTAGATAAACATGATGTATGTTTATTTACATTCAAATTAAAATTTTCACCGATTTTGAACTTGAATAACCTCATGTTTCCATAATTAAACTGACTTTAAACTGTGGAGAAGAAAAATAAAGTTTTAACCTGCCTCAGCACTAATATTTCCCTAGAGTTATTCGTTCAGTGTTTTGGAAACAGCCCTGATTATAAGCGAATTTTAATCCAAATCTACCAATCTCTTCATATAATTAGTTTTGTTCTCCTCTGCTGGCCGAACTTTCAAAACCTTTTTTTTATTTATTCATTATATATCCAATCCAGGCCCGTAGGAAGCAATTTCACTTTGAGGGGGCACAACCATACATTTTCTAGTTGAGGGAGTACTATTAACTTCCAAAATTCCTTGACAAGCAAAAAAAAAAAAAAAAAAAAAAAAAAAAAAAAAGGCCATCAGACGTTATTATTGTGGGGGCACAAGCACATAGCTCTATGTTTTCTATAGTAATTTATTTATCGGAAAAATTATTGGGGGGACACGGCCCCCCCGTGCCCCCCCCCTCCCGGTTCCTACGTCCATGCCATCTACAAGTAGATTCCTGTACATGACGTGCCGTGAGTAAGCTGGAATCATTTTTTTAAGTGACGATAGGATATGTAATTCAATTTGCCGCAAAATCATTCAGGCTTAATTCCTTTATCAATAAACATTTCTTTTGGAGTAAGGAAAATAATACAAATAGAGAACGTTAGTTCAGTTTCAGACCAAAACATCTCACGACTAAGATAAAAATTTGACAACTTTGTAAATTTTTTGTTGGATTAATATATTGATTTTTTTTTTCTTAAATATTTTTACAATGTAATCTTATGTAATAAAAATGTAAGACTTTTTTTTATGTCCTACCACAGCTAGATACTTTTTGCAGAAGGGGAAACTTTTTGTTTTAGTCGTAAGATTTTTTTGTAAAAGGGGCCACTGGCTAAGCCAAATACATGCTACTTTTGCATTACTTGTAAACCTAGCTGTACAAGTTGAAAAGAAATTTTCTTTCTAAGTTATTGTTGCTTCGCAGATATTCTTGAGGTTTCGACCCAGTGCCAAGCAAACTTAAAACACAGAAAGTTGGCTATACCATAGAGGCTCGGTTTCAGGATGGTGTATTTTGTGCATTGTGTGTTATCTATGTCTGTCTGAATTCAATGATTAAAAATAAAAACCCCCAAAACAGCTGAAATTAGCAGTTAAAAAAACAATAGTATTTGGATATAATAGTTCATATATATATTTATTTAAATTACCAGATATTTTTGCCGCTTTCATACATAGGCACCTTACGTTACTTATTTTTCTATTTATAAAAAAAAATATACCCCTTTCTTATAATTGAGGTAGGGGTACATTTTTTTTTATTATAAGAAAATAAGTAACGTCAGGTGCCTGTGTTTTCAAACTATGTTTTGTTAAAGAAATGGATTGTATTTAAAAAAAAAAAAAGTAAAAATGTTTAATAAAATCTGGGCGATTTGGAACAATCGAGGATTTCCTGGACATTCAAAATATTTCTCCCCATGCCTTTGTATCGAACGAAATCCTGAATGTAGACTGGCTTGCCTGTCTGATATGCGCGAACGATAGAGACGGGCAATACCAGTCTAATCCTGAATGAAGATAACTCTGTACGAATCAAAATTGTACGACTTAACAAAAGATGTGATCATGTGATCAAGAAAATTCGGATCGGAAATTCGGACTGTCACACTTGGTTGAACATCGGATATAGAGATGTCGAAATTGATAGGAGCAGTAACTGTGAGTATATCTCTTTAAAATTCGCACCGTACTTAAATAATATAGATTTATTTTCAATAATTGTTGAATAATTCGAAGACTGATTGATGAAGAGGGATCATTTTTGAAAGGTGCTTTTGTAATGACGGTCTTTGTCTTGTTGTATCCAAACACTTACATAAGCTGCTTTTGTTGACCGTTCACACTTTTATCTACATTGATGTCACCTGACCGATATACTATATTTATACATGTAGATCATTTTTTTGGGCAGCTGATTTTGTTTTCTGGAAATATTAAATGTACAGAATAATTTAATATTTCATTCTATTGTTTGAGCAGTTGTTATTGACTATTCCAGTTGTATTTTATTGGAAAAAAAACTTTGGTTAATAAAAATATATAATTCTTTATTTTTCTCACTCACAATGTTCATTATACTAACCATTATAACACCGAAGAAAAAAAAGTGTGGTTTACTGTTACAAGGGATCTATATACTGTATAATACTTAGTATATAGGTCCCTGCTGTTACAATGCAAATTAAAAAAAATAGGGTTGGCAGGTATGATTTTGTCATTTTTCTCCCTTTTTTTTTTTTTTTTTTTTTTTTTTTACATAAAGGCTTAACTTTGAAATATATATATATTTTAAATACAGTTTTAAACTCTCTTCTAGCTATTATATCTTTTCATTTAAATTACCATCTACTTTACAGTTCTAAAAATGGCTTCTAAAAAGTGACCTTTTTCTGATCTATAAACTGTTAAATACAGAAATGCAATTTCCTGATTTTACAATGAAAAAAAAAAAAAAAAATGGGTCACTGCATAAGATTGGGGTCATTCTAGTAACCCAAAATAAATATGTTTTTTTTTCTTCTTAGACCAAACGTGAAGTTGAGCATTAATTTCACTAACAGGGAGGGGGGTTACTCCCTGAATGAAGATGTACAAATATATTCAGACTCTGAGGAATGAGTATATGTTTTTCAGGCCAATAAATGATCAGTCTTTAATATCCATCTTCAATGTTTATACATGTATGTAATATTCAATGGATGTCATTTTATAAAGCATTAATTCAATAGTTCATTAATTTCTACATGTCATAAAATTATATAAATTGTGATCATCTTCATTTTCAATAAATAATGACTCACTTTGAAAGCTAATATGGATTTTTGTTACAGATAGATTGAATGTGATTATAAGTTGGCCTTGGTTCAAAGTTTAGCTGTGATTTAATTTTTTTGAATATATGAACAATGCCATTCAAATATACTGGAAAATTATTCGAATCATATAAACATTATGTTCTAAACCTGTGAAATCTAATTACTATATTTCTATGAAGATCTGTGAAATACAAATTGTTTACTTTGCATGGAATCAAGTAAAACCATAAAATCATTTTGAATTTTATTTAATAATAGTTAATATCATGCCTGTAATAAAATTATAGATAAATGAATTTATCCATCATCATGCTTTTGGCAGAGTAGTTCCAAAAAAAAAATAATTTTTTTCTTCCAAGTATGAACTAACTTTTTTCATGAATACAAGCAAACATATTTCATGAAGACATTTAGCACTAAAGATATCATATATATATATATATATATATATATATATATATATATATATATATATATATATATATATATACATGTATATATACATATATATATATATAAATGTAAATGTAAATGACATTGCTATAACCCATTACATTATAAAAATCTGTATTGTTAATGAACATTGTATCATTGATGATTAAGCCTTAGATATGATGCTAAACAATTGATAACCCCAATACCCTCTTGCATTTTTAAAATAGAAATATATTAAATGATATAAGGGTTTTATTGATGGACGAAAATCTTTAGAAAGTTTATTTTCTCAGATTAGCTTGGAATATTTTGGAATATTGTCTTTCTCACAGTGTATTTATACAGAGAGGATTACCTGGTAAGTGATAGTGATACATGTATTATCATTGTATAAATACTGAAGGAAGTCATTTTCCTGCTCAAGGAATTAATATAGTATTTCGCTTACGGATAGTATTTCATGCGACAATGAACTCCTAGAATAATAACAAAAGAATCTTGAAGAAAAAAACATAACTTAATGATATGTATAAATATTGGTATTTGTGTCTCTGTTTGATTCATCATCATCAAACACCACAGGTAAAGTAGAGCTGTGATATATACAGAGTTTAGTAACTGTGACTGTTTACAATTACTGGTATATGATATTACACAATAACTATAGGAACACCTGTCCTGTTAATATGGTATATCAGAGCAGAGAAAATTTTTATAAAAAAAAAAAAACAGGAAGGAAAATATACAGGAGAAAAAAATAATGTTAGAACTAATGTGTATTATTTATAAGACTCAGAGCTTTCACCTTGTTTACCCTAGATTTGGGCCTGGTACTAGGGGCAATAATAGGAAAATAATAGGAAAAGCAGGAAAATTTAATCCAGGAGTTGATGATGTGTATATATAATTAGTTAGAAGAGAAAATCACCATTCTTGCTGATCAAGCGTTGAACCAGAGATTTGTTGAGATATCACTGTTTAAAAAACACAGAAAGATTTTAAAGGATTTTGAACCCAAAGTGTTCACATATATTGCTATGAATGAAATGTGACTGAATACCAAATTTATTGTCATGCATCTTTGAACAGAAAAATAAGTCATCAACAACTCTTACATATGCAATATGTTACACAGACAAAAAAGAAAAAAAGTTTTTTTTAAAAAATGGGATTTATGTCGATTTTTTTTTTCAAAGTATTTATGGCATCTAAAAGGTGATGAATCAAAATGAAATATAGCTTTTTTTAAGTCATGAAAGAGACAATTTATCAAATTTCACAGATTCATTTTTTACACATACATTTATATAGATTATGAAAAAGGCATATTGTTATTTTGGAATACCAAAATTATTTAAAAATCACATGATGTTGGCATGATAAATGGTGTACCGTTTAAGACCGCAATGATGTTTACTTTGTATCATGTATGGTATAAAAAAAAAAAATACAAAAAATCCTGATCTATTTTTACTGTATACAATACTGATTTAAGGTTTTTAGTATATGGACATTACAACACAGTTGTTGACAGGGGCCTTTGGCAACAGTTTGCACAGATCAACTGTGGTCCTCAACTCCAGTCAACAACTGTATACTGTTGATGTAAATACTGTAAAATATGGTTATAGTGCATTAACAACCTTTAATGAATTCATGCTTTCAGCAAAATGATTTTCATTCCTTATACTTCTGATATACAATTATGAACTTTAATATCAGATAAAATGATTTACATTTATAACAGGGACCTATATACCAATATATAGGTCCCTGATTTATAACTACAAATCAAAATTGTTTGTCCCTGGCACTTTGCTTTAAACATGTTTTCTATATACATGTCATTGTATTTATCTTATGTGAACTACAAGTTCTATTTGTAAATTACAATAGTGCCTAGTTCCAGGGCTATAATATTTTTCACATAATTTGTAGATCATGAAGAACACACTTTACAAGATAGTGACAGTTCAATAAGACACATTTCTGTTTCATAGGGGCCTCTGCTCCCATACTGGGAGATAGTGCGGGACAGAGTGAATTCTTCCTGTGAAGGCGTGGAGCCATGGAAAATAATCGTCTGTTCGTGTGGAACCACACTTCTAGTCCTCACAGTCAAGGACATTCTCTTCTCGGACGAGGACAGTAAGTGTCCACTAGTGATGTTAGTACTTTGCTTAGTCATAAGTCACTTAACTAATCTCATCCGTAGCTTAATTTGTACTGTAGATTTGTTTAGTACATGGATGCTATATATGTATGCATCAGCTTCCTTAAGGAGAAATTTGGATGAGAGTCATTGTCACGAGTTCATGATATATCTTTATGTGTTCTGTACGTGTCCAATCCACCCAGAAAAATTAAGAAAATACAGTTATTGAATGAAGTTATTGAATATATATGATTTTTATTTTGCATTTTCATATTTATTGGTGTTTATGGAAAAGTAAATGTTCATGTTTTTAGGCTCAAAGACCTACTACGAAAGTGACCTACTTTTTGACTTTTTCAGCTGTTCACTTTAAACTATTTAAGAAATAAATCTAGGACACTGTGAAGTCTAGGAAAATCAAATCTTGTCAATTAATGAATCTTATGACCCTGGAGTGTGTCAACTTAAAATGAGGTTACAGTGACCTACTTTCTAAATTTTATGGCTATTCCATTTTAACATATTTTAGCTAAATATTTTGTGTACTAAGAGGCTTCAAAACAACAAACCTTGTGAGTTGATGCACCTTGGGGTCTCTGGATGTGTCAACTAAGAAGTAGGTCACAGTGATCTACTTTTCAATATTTACTGCTAATCATTTAAAATTCTTTTAACCTATACATTTTGAACACTTTGACTTGCAGGGTCAACAACATTTTTCATTTGATTCTTCTTAGGGTCCTGTATCAACTAAAAATAGGTGACAGTGACCTCTGTTTGTATTCTATCATTATTCATTGTAAAAACTTTGTATGTTTGATACTGTAAGGCTTAGCATTGTCAAACCTTGTCAGTTAATGCATCTAAGGACTCCAGGATATGTTGACCCAAAAGTAGGTCACAATAACATACCTTTTCCATTTTTGTCAAATCTTTATATCTTTGTTACTTTGTGCCTAGGATCATCAGACCTTGTCTGTTTACACATCTTAGGACATCAGGATATATTGATACTTAAGTTGGTCACAGTGACCTACTTTTTCAATTTTATTATTGATTGTCAAATCTAAAAGTACAGTAACCTACTTTTTGAATTTGTTGCTAGTAATGTTCAAATTGTTTTAAATGCATATCTTGAAAATTGTGAAGCCTAGGATCATCAAAATACTTACATAATAAAGGTCTTATAGTGTGTCAAATAAAAAGGAGGTCACAGTGACCTACTTGATACATTTTACACTTATTCATTTTGAAAACATTTTAGCTGAATGTTTCAGTTACTGAGAAGCTTAGAATCATCAAATGCATCTTAGTGCCCCTTAATTAGCCAATTCAGAAGTAGGAAATTGTTCAATTTAATAGTTTTACTGTTTATGCATTCTGTATATGCATTCTGAAAGGGAAAGTGATTTTCACTCTATAAGAGAATGAAAGAGAATTCCAGAGATTTGTAATACGTGTACATGCATTTATGCAACACATGAATTTATGAATTAGTACAATGAACATGACAGTATCACTAATTTCATGCATTTGATGTGAAGCATTAAAGGCTAGTTGTGATATGTTACTTGAAATTGTCATTTACTTTACCTTTCAAACTCAAAAATACCCTAAGACCTAAATTTCTTGTCACTTTTCTTAACAGCCCTAACCAACAGAACAAGAAACGAATTTTTCCGCTTAATGAAAAAAATTCCATTTGTCCAGAAGAGGATTGCACAGGAAAAGAAAAAGATAATGAAGGACATGGAACATGCAATGAATGCAGAAGTAGACAGATACATCACACACTTACCAGCAGAAGGACTCAAAATGGTGTGATATCTCAACCCTAAACTATCTGATATAGAAGAACCTTTGTTCATTTTCTGTATAAAATGGCCCTGCTTGTTATCTAAACAATTATCTGCATATGTTCATGTCCAACATTGTTGTGAGTAAGATTTCAACAAGTCATATATTCACTTGTGTTTTTCTTGTCCCCCATGAGTTATTTTGTGTTGATGACATTTGAAATTAAGTTTTTTATTTATACGGTGCTTTCTCTAATCTTTCATCTTTTTGTGTTTCAAGGAGCCCCTCATGGAAGAGCTGAAAAAATATCAAGATTTAGGTAGGTTAATATTATCACAGTCATTCATTTTGATGTCAAATACTCATTAATGTAATATACTAAAAACTGTGAAATTATTATCACACATAGACGAAGGTTGTAATTCTCTGCCTGAATAACATTACTGTAAGCTGTTTATTGAGGCTGTAATACATGGGGATTCATGTAATTAATGATAATGATAAGATCCTTGGTAATGTCATTCTGTGTAAAAGTTCTTTTATTCTTTTAAAAAGAAATAATAAAATAAGAATAATAAGGCAAACTTTGTCTGTTTTCAGCAAAAGTAGACTGGAGCAATGGAACTATATCAGGGACAGTGTATAGTGGGGATCCAACACTCACTCATTTAATGGAAAAGGTCAGGACACAACATCCAATCCCTAAATCCATTTGATGCTGAAAATTTCTGTTTAAAAATCACATTGACAAAGTTGAGGAATTCTTATCAATAGATACAGTGAAAACTGCAATAGCGGGACACTACTAAGTGGCTTATTGTCATGAAAGAAGAAATCCCCCCAGTGGCATTACCCTATCTATTGCATTTAAAAAAAACCACACACACCTGTCTATCTTGACCAATGACCAAGACTTTTACATGCATTTTGTGTAGTTTCATGCAATGGAACTGATTTCCTTAATACTGAAAATACCAGTAAATAATATACCTCACTGAGATGCCTTTCTGAGTGAAAGTTGTCCTTGCACATACTGTGGAATCATTAGATTTCATGGTAACTCAATATTCGTGAAATTCGTGGGTACCCTGCATCCACGAAATTCACATCCTCAATGAATCAATAATTGGGGACAGGTTTTAAGAGTCATCTTTCCTTTTGTAGATATGATTGAATACATGAAATTACGTCCCCTCGAACCTGTAAAATTTAGGTAATCCACGAAAATTGGCCCCCACAGTAGTTGACATTTGTCAAAGTGAGCTATGTAATTTGTGATTACCTTTTTAGCTCATCTGAGCCGAAGGCTCAAGTGAGCTTTCTGATCAAAATTTGTATGTTGTCTGTCGTTATCATAGTCTTCGTAAGCTTCTTACAATTTCATCGTCTTCTTCAGAACCACTGGTCCATTTTCAACCAAGCTTGCCACAAATTTTCCTTTTCCTTGGGCCACACCTTCTTACAAGGGGAGATAATCACGAATTAGTGAAAAATTTATGGAGTCTTTTAAAATCTACTTCCCAAGAACCACACATAAACAGCATACTGTAAATGTGGATAATAAAGTGACTGTGTATTTAATTACTTCTGTGCATTAGCCTTACCTGTTGTGGTTAATTCTGCAGCATGCCCATATCAAAAAATAATACATAAAAGTATATTTTTAATATATTTTTAATACAATCATTTTCGTATTGTTTAAAATTAATACAGAAAAAATATATTATTTTTGTATCACCAACAAATAGGTAGATTATTTTTGTATTAAAATCTGACTTTGATTTTTTACAGGGTATTATTTTTGTATTTTTTGGGACTTAGATTATTTTCAGTATATCATTTTTGTATTTTTGTGGACTTAGTTTTTTTCAAGTGTATTTTTTCTGTATTAAAATTGAACTTAGTAATTTTACAGAAAATTACAAACAGTTAATCTGTATTATTTTTGTATTAAAATTGAACTTAGTAATTTTACAGAAAATTACATACAGTTAGTCTGTATTATTTTTGTATTAAATTTGGACTTAATAATTTTTCAAAAAATACTATACAGTCAATATGTATTTTTTTTATATTTATTTTGGACTTAGTGTTTTCTTTTACTGAAATTTGTATTTCTTTGAGCATAGGAAAATTTACAGAATGTCCTTGCAATAAGTCTGTTGGAATTAATATTTTTTCTCAGATTTTATTAATTAAGACCACTGCTATAAAGGTTGCTTTTATACTATTTACATTTAATTGCTATTTAGAACAGACAACTTCAGTAGTTTAAATTTGTTAACTAAACAATTTCATTTTTAAAACATGTCTTTTGTCATTTGGAAAGAGATATAGATACGTCTAAGGGGACACCTGTGCTGTACATGATACTTGTAAACACGCGGTAAATTTGGAAGTTTCAGAGTTTCAGACTTTCTTTTTGTGTTGAAAATTTTACAGCGGGTTTACAACCGAGTGTTTACAACTATCGCCAACAGCACAGGTGGCCACCTGCAGGTTAACAATAGACGAGTACATGTTATACTACTCAAAGAAATAACATGATTTACCTGTGAAAACACATCCCAACCAAAACAAAAAACAAAAACAAACAACATGGAGAGTTCCACTATGCACTAATTACAGTACCTACGATGTTTTCTTGACTATACAACTCAATTTAGTATACATTATATTTAATTCAGTACGTATTACAATTACATGGAATAGAACTATTTAATTATCCGCTTTTAAAAAAAAAATTAAATAAGAAATTATCCCGAAAGAATATCATAAAATAATATAGAAAATGTTGTGAAATTGGTGTAAAGGATAGTTGTTAAACATTATTTCAATCTCTGGTACCGTATGTATGAGTTAAGTTGTCCGTCAAAAAGGCTATATATTATGGATCTCCCGCTCGTTTTGATCATTATATTTGAACTTTATGGTCTACTTCACAGGTCAACTTGAATATAAAAATGGCTGCTCGCAGCGGAAATGATGACCGGAAATAACGATGTTTCGTAATCGGTAAATTCCGTAAGGAATAAAAAAATGATTCTGATGATTAAATTGAACATCGTTTTTTTCTAACATAATTTTAGGTTTGTTCAATTGATTCAAGATATTTAAAACCATGTAAATCTGTTTTCTCTAAACTGTTCCGATCTCAACATCGGTAATTTTCGTATATATGACACAATATGATTGGTCAGATTTTAAAACTCTTCCGTACTGTTCTCTGATTGGTCAACAATATTTCACCCACGCCATTTTGAAAATTCTTCCCGGGACGTGTTGAGAAAGCTGGGGGTGATTTTGAATAAACTCTCATTTGCTCGCGAGTAAAATGGATCGAAAAACAGAAGTTCAGCATAATCATGGTACACAGGATCATATATATGAACCAAGGAAAGCAAATACATAAGGAGACTGATGTTTTTTAGGCATCATATCCGGACTTTTCTGGTGTAAACAACAACAGTTGCGGTAAGATTATGTATATTTTAGCACATTAAAGTTTCAGTTTTTTAAATAACTTAGTATAAAGATAGAGGAACAAAGAATGCCCTTTTTACCCGTTTTGTAGTATTGTAGAAAGATAAAATAGTACAGTTATTGGCCATGTGGGGAACAAGGGTTTTTGTGATAAATTCTGATTGGGGAGGGAGGGGTGGAAGATGGGGGTAATTTTCAAGGTTTTGGCTTCCTAGTTCTAATTCATTCCAATTTTTTCAAGTTTACCAGACACGAATTATTTATTTTCCCTTCAAAAACAATTCTGTAATTTGTATAAACTCAAATTTTTTCGAGGGGGGGGGGGTAGGTTGGGTTCGGGGGGGTGGGGGGGGGCAGTTTATTTGAATAACATTGGGGCACACATTTTGTTTACTCTTTCAACATTTTCAAGGACAGATTGTTAATTACAAATATTTTTTTAAAAATATTTTATAAATCAGTCCCCCCCCCCCCTTTTTCTTCTCCAGATTGTCAAATCAAATGGTTGTCCCCTAAGAAACCCCAGATTAAAGAAAAGAAATTTTCAATGGTACAATTGTATGGAATTTGGTGAACTCCGCTGGATCTTTTGGAATTTCAATTTATAATTATTGTTAATTTTAGTCAGCAGAACATTGAAGAAAAGCTGATTAGACATGGAGGAAGAAGATCCCTCTCAAGAAAGTATTGCAGGTGTGTGAGCTAAACAAAATCTTTATAGAATTATTTTGGATGTGAAAATGTGTGTTTTGTTGAGGTAATGGTTCATTAAATTTTATTATTATATCATTCTGTTCTATATTTCATAGTGATGAAGTCAGATGAGATGACAGGTTGTGTGATTTGAAGATGGACTTCTGCAACAAAGTAAACACTCCTCTACCTTTTCCATACAAAAGAAACAGCAAAGCAGAGAGATCGAAACATTTGGTAAAAGTACAAAGAAAACAGGATTAGTTAAACTTGTGAAAAATATCAAGACTATTGAAGAGCAGATTATATGTAAAAAGAAAGATCAAGACTACAATTGGTAGCTGAATCAGTAGCCTGGCCACATTAATTACTTTTTAATTAGCTATTTGTACATTTAAGGTAATCTGACTGAGTTACTAAAATTGTTATTTAACAAATATTTCAAATAAATAAAAGATTTTTGAATAACAATCAATAGATGCTATTAAGAACCTCAATCTCCAGCTCCTTTTCTTCAAATAACAATTTTTGCCCATGATTTTTTAAAACTCTGTTTTGTATTATTTTAAGCATTTAAATGTATTTTTTGTCTATCATTCTTGTACTTTTTTGATATTTTTGAAATACAATCCTTCATGCTGATAAAAATACAAAAACAATACATATTAATACAAAATTAATACATTCTATATTTTTTTCATACTTTTTTGTGTACTGTATTATTTTCATATTTTATATCTTTTTTGTACTTTTAATTGTTCCAGATGAAAAAATACAAAAATAATATATGTGATACAAAATTAATATATTCTCTATTTTTTTTGTATTTTAATTCTTAAAGGTGAAAAAATACAAAAATAATATATGCTAATACAAAATTAATACATTCTGTATTTTTTCTATACTTTCTATGGACTGTATTATTTTTATACTTTGGAGAGGAAAATAGAGAAATAATACAAAAGTACAAAAACAATACGTTTTTACAGGTCATGTGTATCATTTCTGTATTATTTCGAAAAAATAAAGTATATTAAAAATATATTTTTCTGTGTTTGGCTTTTAAAAAGTCTATTATTTTTGACCTAAATTGGAACCAAGATTTAGAGGGTTCCAAATTTGGTCATTAAAAATATACTTTTTTTGTATTATTTTAGTATTTTTTTCTTGTATTATTTTTGTATTCATTTTCGATATGGGTGTTTACATATAAATCTGTATTAAATCAGATCCTTTGTTCTGCTTACGTAAATAGCTACACACTTATGAAGGGATCAATGCGAATGGATGTGTAATGGTTTTGGCCGTGGGATGTGAATATCGGCCAGGATAGCTTAGTTGGTAGAGCACCTGACCGGTGATGCAGGGGTCACACTTTCTATTCCCAGTCCAGCCATACATTTTTTCCTTTCCTGTTACAGATTCGGTGCCATTGACCACCCCTGGACTTGCAGGTGAAAGTCCTGCCAGGGGCAATAAGAACTTGGGTTGTGTCTTTGAAGGCAAAGACAATTTATGGAGGCCGTGAGGAATGTAATGGTTTGGGCTTTGGATATCTGCCTGGGTAGCTCAGTTGGTAGAGCACCTGACTAATGATATAGGGGTCCCAGGTTCGATTCCAGGTCCAGCCATACATTTTTCTCCTTTTCTGTTACAGATGAAAGGATCTGATTTTAATCAGATTGTAGGTTTACAGTAATTGATACAGTTATAGACATTAATTTCATATGAATTTCTATTTGTAGGTGTATGGAATGTTTGCTTGGACCAATCCTCTCCATGCTGATATTTTCCCAGACATCAGGAAAATGGAGGCAGAAGTTGTCAGGATGTGTTGTACCATGTTCAATGGTGATAAGGATTCCTGTGGGACTGTAAGGGACTTCTAAATTTCAAGATCAGTGACTGTTGGGCTATTCAATAACTGATAAATGGGGATGATGAAACGTCTGTTGTCTTGTTTACAGATGACTTCTGGTGGTACAGAGAGTATTCTGATGGCAATGTTTACCTACAGAAACATCGCAAGGGAGAGGGGCATTAAAATTCCTGAAATGTAAGTAACTTATATTCATGAAATTCAAATTGATACACATGTTTAAAATTTAATTTAATCTGTGATTAATTTCAGATTATAAATTCATCATTCTCATTTTCACATGTGTTAATTTATTCTTTAATTTCAAATTATAAATTCATCGTCCTCCTTATAGCATTGTGCCAATCACAGCTCATGCTGCTTTTGATAAGGTAAGTAATCGTTGGTTTATCTACTGTATATACTCGCCTATAAGTCGGTCCGCCTATAAGTCGGTTGTATTTTTAAAGCTTAAATTAGAGGGATTGACTAACTAATATACTAATCTTTTTATAACTCGCTTATAAGTCGGATAAAGAGTTTTGGACCAAAGTTTAACTCCCAAAAAAAAACGACTTATAGGCGAGTATATACGGTACTTTTCTTATTAACTGCAATGACTGAAATTGCTATGGAATTTGGTATACACAGTTTCTTACACATTGATGATGTTAATTACTTGAGTTTGTCAGAGTTAAAAGAGCTGGTGCACTTGAACATTTTATAATTACAAAACTTTTGTCCATTATTTTCCCCCAACAGGCAGCTGCATACTTCCATATGAAGATTACACACATTCCTATTGACGAAGAAACTAGAAAAGTCAACATAAATGCCATGAAAAGAGCAATAAACAAAAACACTTGTGTGGTATGTATTGTATTGTATTATATCAAGAAAATCCATTTATAATCAAATGTGGTTACTTATACTCTTGACAACAGCAGTTTGATAGAAAAACTGACTACGTCAGTATTTATTATTTTTGACGTAATTGTGAACTTTGTACATTTATATTGCACATTTAGGTGAAGTGACTGGTTTGATAAGTGAAATGACGGGTTTATCAAGACATATTTTGGCTGTTATTTAATCTTCAGTCACAAATGTTAAAGATGTTTGTAACATGCTGATAAAATGGTTCACAGTCAAGTATTTTGTTTTTACAGTTGGTAGGATCAGCACCACAGTTTCCACATGGGGCAATTGATGACATAGAATCTATAACTCAGGTAGAAATTTTTATAATTTTTTCCTTGATGGAAATGAAAATGAGGTGATTTTTCAATGTTTATGATACATGTAGGACATGTATTTGTGATGTCATTCCTTAATAGTCTGGAAAATTTTGAAAACCCCCAACCCCCCAAACCCAAAGGAAAAATATTTCTACAATAGAAAACATTATGTTACATGTATAATAACATGTATTTTATCTGTTTCAGGATAGACATGAAAATATACATGTACATACATGTAACAGTGTCAAATGATATTGAGGTCTTTGATATCTGTGATACTTTATATTACAATTCCTTTTTATATTCTGCACATATTTGTTGCTTTATATTTGCAGTTGGGGTTGAAGTACAACATTCCTGTCCATGTGGACTGTTGTCTTGGGGGTTTCCTCTACCCTTTCATGGAAAAGGCAGGATTTACTGTACCTGTGGTAGATTTCAGATTACCTGGAGTCACAAGTATCTCAGCCGACACACACAAGGTAGGGATTCAAATAAACCTGATACAGAATACTAAAACATGCTTACAGCAAAGTGCCAGGAATTAATAATTTTGATATTTATAAACAGAATTTGTTATATGTAGTAAGTTTATGGTATGTTTTAAAACTACAGGTAAAATCACTTTGCTGTAAGTGTGAATTCATTATATGTGTTTTTTTTGTATAGGTTTTGTTAGCTAATGGTGCTAAACATTTCTGGAAATAAATATGTTGTTAAATATCATATACTTGTTTTTCAGTATGCCTTTCTGGAAATAAACATGTTGTTTAATATGATATACTTGTTTTTCAGTATGCTAATGGTGCTAAACGTTTCTGTAAGTAAACATGTTGTAAAATACAATACTTGTTTTTCAGTATGCTTTTGCTCCAAAGGGTTCCTCTGTTATATTGTACAAAAATGATGACTACAGAAAATTCCAGTTCTTTGTGCAGCCCAACTGGCCGGGTGGTATCTATGCTACAGCTGCCATTGGAGGTAAATAAATTCACAATTATGTTGCCTGTCTGACTTGGCAAACATGATGGCTTCTTTTTAGCAGGAGTAATTTTTTTGTTGTTGGCATAACTGGAACTGTGATTTTCACAAAGGTTATTTAACACATGCTTTTTCATACTTATTTCTTAAACAACTTCTTCACTTAGTAATGATAAGTTCATATACAGTACATGTTCTTAAGAAATAATGTATTATTTTTAAACATCTATCAGGATTTAAATACGGGTTGGTCACGAGATCAAATTCCATAAAGCCCGAAGGGCCTGATTATAAGTTTTAACGTGCGAAATGTTTTATTTTTCAAACTCAACGGCACATATTTGATCCATTGATTGTGGGTCAACCCTTTATGACGTCACTGAGAAATTACTTCGAACGTTTATGAGGAACCCGTGTTTATACGGATATAGATACGCATTGCTTTTAATAGTGTTATATAAAAGAAAACATTTGCAAATGTAAATACATGTATTAATATATATAGCAAATTTGATATCTCTTTTAGTGGGATATCCTAATCTTGGTATAACATTATTTATATTTTTCATAGATTCTAAATAAGTTGAAGCCGTGAGCAAAATTCTTTATACTGTTATGCACTAAAAATATGATGTTAATGTGAAGCAGAGTAAAAAATGTGTTTTATTATTATATCATATTGGTAAAAAAAAAATAGACAAACATATACTGATTTTAGGCAGTCGACCTGGTGCCATCATAGCAGTGTGCTGGGCAACTCTTATGTACTTTGGAGAAAAAGGTTACGTGGATTCTACAAGAAAGATCATCTCCACAGCCAGATATATAAAAGCAGGGTATGTAAACACTATTATACTACCCGGTACATGTATATTTTTTAAAAAAGAATGAATTTTTTGGGATATTGATCATCATTTTAGTACAGTGTGTTTTTAACTGTTCATTACCAGATATAGGCTTTGCAAGGCTTAGATTTAATTGTACAGATGTTAAGTTTTTTTTTTTACTTAATAATTTTTTTTTATTGTTATTTGATACAGGCTTAAGAAGATCCCTGGGTTCCACATATTTGGAGATCCTCAGATGTCTGTGGTTGGGTTTGGACCAGCAGAGGGTTTCAAGTACAACATCTTCACCTTCTCTGATATGATTGCCAAACGAGGCTGGAACCTCAACCCACTTCAGTTCCCCTCAAGGTTCTTTTCATAGTTAATCATAATTAAAGATGACAGTGGTTTTTAAGGTTCATTGACCCTCTAATAAGAGAGATAACTCTTACTGGAATAAAGTCCTTTAAAAATTGTCAAGTTTAAAGGCCATTTCTGTCAATTTTGTCCTGCAAGGTAATATTGAAAGTATGTTGAAATTGAGTGCATTTTAATTATAAATTAGATTTCTTCTGGAAATTGATTAAGATCACAATTTTATATGAATGAACAGAGGAATGATGAACCTTAATTTGTAAAGAAATTCTTCATTTTTGAAATCCTGTCTATCCTAGTGTACATCTTTGTGTGACTCTACTTCACACAAAAGAGGGAGTAGCTGACAAATTCCTGCAGGATTGCAAAGAATGTTTAGAAGAGTTGCTGGCATCTCCAGATGCTGAGGCAGGGGGAATGGTAAGTTGTCATGTTGTCTTGATATAAAATACACAATATGGTGGGTGTAATTCTAGATCTTCTTTCAAGTACACAAGTTAGATTAGTCAAATTGTTATGCAGTTGTCTTATGTATGTTGAAAACACTCTGCTGCCTTGGGATATGGATGAGGCCATAATAGGGATCCAAAGATTTTATATAAATATTCAGATTAATCTCATCTTAAGGATCTAATTAGAAATTACATAATTTTATGGGGTTAAAATTTTGTGGTTTGAGGAAAAAAATAGTGATTCATAAGGATTTGATTTCATGGTTGGTAGACGGACATGACACGATCGTTAAAATTTTAACTTTTCCTGGAGAATATTAATTTGTTGGCTTCTTTTTAATGCACATGAAAAATTAATCCTCACAAAAATTAGTGATTTCAAAGGATAAGAAAAAAATGGGAAATACGTCAAAAAAAATATTGCATGATACTTGTGTGAGCATTAAGGCTCAATGTTTTTTGTTAATTAATTCTAATTTTACCCAGTATGCATTAAAATTATTCATGCATTTGATGCTTAATTCCAAAATGTATCTTAGCATACTTTTCACCAAAAAAAATTATTCTGGACTTGCAGGCAGCCATGTATGGGACATCTCAGAGTATTCCCGACCGCTCCATGGTTGCTGATCTTGCTGGGTGCTTTGTGAGCGCCCTCTACACTACAGACAAAAAAGAAGAGACCAACGGAACAGTTCCGACCGACTAGGATGATAAACAGTTCCTAGATAAAACTCTGTCTCCCACAGGAAGTTTGTAAGGATGATATTATTGACAGCACAAACTGTACCAGTAAAGCATTTAAGTGACAGTGTTACTTGTTGTAGCTGGTGCTCTTGAATGTTTTAGTTGTCAAGTATTTATTTATTGTGTCTCCTATAGAAAAAAAGAAATCAAAGTTAAGATTTTCATCTATAACTTTCTTTTATTTATATACATGTAGATGCACAAGCAATGCAATTCTAAGTCTAGAGACTGTATTTATATATGTGCACATATTTCAGTGATCTTCAACTGTGATATACTCTCTTCACTGTTGGCATGGTTATATTTCCGAGTTGAAATTACAAATTTGACAAGTGGAAACTTTTGTAATCTTCTCGGATGTATTGATGTGTTTCTTTTACAATGATGAGAAATTTGACAAGTGAAAACATTCACTTTTATTAATCGTTCATCGGTTTTGTTAATTTTTCCACATAGTCAACATTTCCATGTATACAACATTTATATACAATATATATAAACTCATTGGCGATTGCTTATTAAGAACATTTTTCAAATTATTACAAAATAGAAATTAAAGAGTTGCATTCATTTGTAAAATACTTTCAAAGATCCAAAATAATTGTACGTCATTTTTGCACATTTTTAAATCAGTATTTACAAGTTTTTATCGTTATATTTAATGTGTGGTTTTGTGACAAATTCATTGAATTTATTAAGTTCCTAAAGAGATTTTTTTCTTTGCAATCATTGTCTTTAATTCAACATAAATGAATAACTTTTGAAATTGGCATTTTTCAGATATTTCATTTTGTTGGAAATGATTTATTCATTTCAGATACAGTTAATGCTTGCTCAACTATCAGCTTTATGTTAAACATAAGTGAAAATATTGCAGTAAAATTTTGTTTGAAATTAATTTTGATTTACAAAATTACTGTATGTTTTTTCGTTTTTGTATTGCTTAATTTGGTTATGAAAACTACCATATGCTCCAAATATGTAACCTCAGATACAAGGGAAATTTGCAGTTGATAAACAAATACAGACTCGCAGTCTTTAAGGAAAAATAAAACGAAAAGGAAAAGAAAAGATGGATAAAAACTGAATTTTTATATTAACTTTTACATTTTAAACTGTTCTTGAATCAATTTATTTTCACGTACTTAAATTCAAAGCACAGTTATCAATGAAATTAATTTTTAAATACAATCACATATCATGGTTTATTCCAGACTTTTCATGTATGTACTGTTTGGAAAATGTAGGAAAAAGATTACCTGTTGTAAATAAAGTAATTTATGTGGTAAAAAGACTTTTATTTAGCATGGAGGAAGATAAAACTTAACAATAATGATGCATCTTAAATGACATAATAATGCGGGTATACTTATTGTATATACATGTACATGTATATGACATTTACTTGTTAAAAAGCATGTATGGACAGATTAAAAGCTATTTGGCTTTGGCAGTATTGAAATCAAATAGATCAATTTTAGCAATATTTTGAATATTTCAGGATGGAAAAAATATTAATTGATAATTTTTATTACTCACTTTAGTACTCATCTGAGATCTGCTACTGTGAAGTTTTTATCTTACTATGTGAGAGTTTTGTACAAGGATGGTACATTTGTAATGTGAAATTTGTGGAAAGTTTTCATTATATATGTAAATATTATGGAATAAAAAAAAAATAAATGTACATTTGCATTATGGAAGAATATTTTTATGATGAAATACTTCCTAATAAATAAAGGGTAATATATAGCTATCAATGAGAAGAGCGAGGCTGTTGGAAGAGGGTGTGTTTGGTTCAATCATGCTCCCTCTTTTAAATATACATGTACAGTGTATATAATTGTTGAAAAAAAATCTCATGATTCATTTCTTAATGCTGCTGCACTGTAAAAACTGTGTTCAGATCATACACAACTGCAGTGTTTATATCATTCACAAAGCTGAACACATTACCGTTCCACTTTTTTTGACATGTTTAGGAAATATTATTGGCAAATGAATTGGTCAAGCAGAGAGGGAACGTTCGGACCAAATGTCTGAAAATTGGTTTTGGTGGTGTCTTAAAGAGCAAGTCCTTTTGAATATTGCAATACATGATTGAATACCTACTAGATATTTCTTATACAGTGTATTTGCTCATTGCCTTGTCTGCAAATGTGATATATATTTCAAAATCCCTGTAATTTATCCTTTGGGTATGTTATAAGTGGAAGAACCATTGCAATAGCTTTTGTTTGATGTGAGCTTTCATTTATGACGTTGCACTTGCTTGGCGTTCAATGTTTGAGACATCAAAATAAAACTCATGCTTGTTTTGAATGCTATAGCTTTCCACACACTTCATAAGCAAAATGCTGGAGGAATGTAAATTGTGCTGATGGTCGATAATATTTGAAAGGTTAGGTGCATATTGTCGCACCAATGACAATTGTACAGGACGACAATATGTACCCTCACAGCCCCCCTCCAAATGTGCCCCCCTTCCCAAACTGAAATGGCTTTTTACGGGCCCATTATGTCATGCTAAGCATGGCTTCTCAGCAAAATTTTTTTTATTATGCTTAAAATAATTCTATTTAACGTCATCTTCGGAGTGTTTTTTTAAAGTGACAGTGAAGTTATTATTTGTGTTTGGCTTTCTTATCGAAAAATTGCTAAATAAAATGAAATGAAAAAACAACATATTTACATTTTATTATGTAAATGTACCAATCAAAAACTGTTTGTAACAATAACAGAAAATAATGTTAGGTTTTAATTAGCACCCAGCAAGCTTATGACATTCAAAGACAACAAAATATAAGCACAAAATACTAGTACATCGAAAAAGTGTGTAGAAAAAAATACATAACTTTGTTCATGTAAGGAAAAAATTGAGCGAAAGTAAATATAACGTGTAGAGCTTTTCAAATATTACCATCACGGAATTCAAAAAACATTTTATATATATAAACTTTCTATACAGCACCAGAGTTAACTGTAAAATGTCAGAAAAGTAAAGATATACGGTACAAAATATTAGTGACCCCCAGGCTGATTCTGAACTTCTAATATTGGTTATTTGCATTTTATGTGGTACTATATGCGTAGTTAAAAAAGTGGGCTTCATATTTTAGTGGTTTTGGCGCAGACAAAGATGCGCTAATTCATGAATACCGTTAAGAAGTCATTTACAAATACAATATACGGCACAGACATGTATAGCACTAATTCATGATTTCGCCAACAACTCCATACCCAGTGATTGTGCTAAATTTTGAATACGCCAATTTATGTACACGTACAGTATTCTCTATATTATGTATATCGGCTATGTTTAACTCTTATCAGTTCTGATTCTTGAAATAAAACATACAGTTACATTGTTTATTTACTACTTAATTTAATGTGACTAGCTAAGCACTTGTAGGATGCAGACTTTAGCACTCGTTAATCAGAAAACAGAACCACATGAATATCATTATAAACATTAATGTATTAAACATATTCCACTATAGATTTCATGAAAATAATGATGAAAAAATCTAATACAGGAAATCCCCTAAATCTTGTCTTAACTTACATCTAAAAAAACAAGGGGAAAAACTTCATACAATAAATTTTCAATTTTCCAACTATGTGAATTAAATAAATTCAAGTATCATAAATATATTTCCTGTTCTAATAAAGTAATTTCAATTCATCAATTAACATGGTAAAAAATGTATCTACTAATAAAAGCTTACACTGGGTTGGGAAAGTCCACAAATAGATTTATATTATCATTGGATTTACATTACCCTATTCTTTTGTATGAGAAAAAGAAGGTCCGTGGTTTAATTAGTACAAGCATTATGGTGACTGAATTATATCTAGAATGTTTATAATTATTTGGCTAAGAATGAGACAGTGTCAAATTACATTAGTACAAGAACCACTGTCTGTGAACTATAACATTTGGAATGTTTACCAAGCTAAGAATGAGACATGTCAAATTACATATGTACATTGACAAGAAATACTTCAATGGACCTAGACGCATGTGGAGACTAATTATCAACCATAATCTCAGGACCTGATTTATCAATAATACAGATTATAAATTTCAATATTGTATGCAATACTGGGTAATAAAATGTGTTTAAATGAATATGAAAGGCCTAAAATAGACATTGTTACAATAACTGTGAATGTCACATCATCATTTTTTTCCTGAAACTAATTAAAGGTCACATATGGAATGGACAATGAAAAAAGTACCCTTTCTTTTATTACAATATATAAACAGGACATAAAAATAAACTACATGAGATGGTCAGATGATTGCATTGTACGCTGTAATGCCATTTGAATCAAATTCATTACAATAAGCAGGAAACAGTTACATAGAGGGTTACATTGTCAGGGTTAAGAAATGAAAAACTAAAGAAATTAATTTTATTACTGGATGACTATTGTCAAGGTAGTGTAACTTAGAAATGGAATGTTTACCTAAGATATTGCAATACTGAGTCTCAAAAAATTTCCTTTTTATGTTATATGAAGAGATCATTCAATACAATGCTAAAGAGTAATATACATGTACACTTCTTGGAATGAGCAAAGTTCTACATGCAGCTTAACATTTAACCCTGAACTTAAAAGACAAAAGTGCAAAACTCAGAAAATTATATTGAGCATTAATTGATATTGCATTACAAATATCTATGCAAAAAATTGACCTTTCATATTGCCCAAGTGCGCCACTGTATTGCTACAACTTAACATTGTTGACATGATTAAGCACAGAACTAACTATCTCACTCCATAGAAGAATAACACAGTTAAAATATCAGCCTTACTGAGTTGTTTATAACTGTACATGTGATTTATAAACATCCTGGATTTACTTCTAGAAAGATTGTTTTACACAAATATATATGACTATGTAAGCCATTAAAACAAAGAAAGTTTGTTAAGTTCTAAGGATTACAAACCGTTCTTAGGGTCGTACAGTTCAGCACGATTCTCAAACTGTATCTTAACCTCAAAACACAGAGAGACAAAATTTGCAATCTGATAAGTAAAATAATCAATTTTGTACCCCTACCCCTTCAAAATAATCCCAATTTCTACCCTACAATTTCAAGATTTGCCTTAAATTGTATAATTTTAAAGAATTTAATCAGGAAGTTCGCCAAACTTGAGGTTATAATGCTGAAGCTGAGTCTGCAGGATCATGACACGCTTGACCGCTTCATCTGTGGACTTCTTCTCTGCGGCCAATTTGTCCTGCAGAGTTTTTACAGAGGCTCTATGAGCATTATCCATGGTAGAAATTCTGCTTTCATACCTCTGTATGATCACAGAGTTACTAGAACTTAATTCCTTAATGTATCTCTCCAATCGGACTATTTTCATTTTCATTTCATTTATCTTCACTTCTTGCTTCACTTTAATTTCTTGCAATTCTTTGTTTTCCTTTTCTAGGCGTGCACATTTGCTGTTAACATCTTCATCCACTTTCTGAATTTCTTCTGCTAGCTGGCCATTTGGAAGCTTTGACTCGGGAGATTGTGGGTCCTGGAACATAATGTCTGACTCTTGCACCACAGGAAAGTGGGTTTCCAATTCCTCTGTCGAACTGGACACCACCACCTTCCTGTTCTCGCCCCTCCTTTGGACCACCCTCTTTCTCCTGGCAGGGGCTACAGGTTTACTCTCAGCAACAGGAGAACTAGTCTCACCTGCCAAAGCTAACAAATTAAAATCCAAATTTTGAAAATTTGCTTCCTTTTCTGACACATCTGTACCATATAATTCCTTGTTAATGCAGTCCATAAGATTCAGTGAAGTGGGCTTGAGAACACTAGTTCTATCATATGGCTCTAAGTCCAAAAGATTGCCAACTGGAACAGTCTCTGCCTGTTTTTCCCCAAATAATTCTTTTTCATACTCGATCATCATAAATACCAACTGGTGGGTTATATCTGCAGTTGCCATGAGCAATTCTGCACTATCTGCCTCTGAGACATTTCGAATAATGTTTGGTCCAAACACTGTAGCAATATTCAACACAGTCATCTTGTTAACATCTGAATGTTTGCCAACGAGAGCCAGGAATTTACATAAGAAGGACAAAACATTAAAATTGTCTTCAGGGAGATCAGTTAAGGACACTCGTAAATCATCTATGGCTTTCTGCTTACCATCGTTTGATTGTGACCCTTGGAATCTGAGGGCAATGTTCATGAACTTCTGGTAGTATTCTGCAGGTATCACTGACTGAGGTAGTTCTCGGAGATAGAGTTTTAACAAGGAGGCTACAGTGTGTACATCCACTTCATCATCATCAAATATAACACGTTCTGCTGAGTCAAATCTTTCTTTCAGGTCTTTAATCAGCAAATTCCGACCAGGTAATCTGGAAGACATTGGCAAAATAAATATTGTGGTTTATAGTGAGTAAATGGTTGGGTTAAACACTATGCAGTTTAAAAATTTATGTTTCACACTCAACTCAATACTAGTCATGATTTTTTTTTCATAGGCAATATTGAATTGAATATGGAAACCATTCATACTACTAAAAAATTGTGACCTTGACCTTTCATCTTTTGGTCTCAAAATCAATAGAGATTTTTTTTTTTTAAGACAGAGTCATATTTGTAAGTTTTCTTACAAAAACTGAAAGAAAACAGTTATCTGTAAGCCACTTAATGCAATGTTGTGAATTTCTGATCTTGACCTTTTGACCTCAAAATTAATAGGGGTCTTCTTTAAGTCATTGGTAGTTATTTAAAGTTTCCTGAAAAAGCTAATGAAGAACAAGTTATCATCTGGAAACCATTTTATGAATACATGTACATGAATTTCTGATCTTGACCTTTTGACCTTAAAATCAATAGGCATCTTAAGTCATATGGAGCTATGATATGAAATTTCATGAAAAAGATAAATGGATATTTTGAAATATCATCTAGAAACTAAAGTGTACACAGAGACATAATAACAGACAGATGGATGGACAAACTGACCCAATTTAATACCCCTCCCCCCCTTTTAGTGAAACCAGGAACAAAAAAAAACCTTCTATAGGATTCGAAACTCTAGAACTTGAAGGAACCCAGAAGAGAATTTCACTATGATAGTTTGGTATACTAGTAATATCAATTTGAATAGCCTGAATAACTATTATACACTTATCATTTACTGACAATCAACAAGAGTTGTTGTTCATATTTATCGAAGTATTAGAACTACCAACCTGAAAATGCCTTCTACTTCTAGTCCATTCTCTGTCAAGAAATTGACACACTGCTCCATAAGGAAAGGCAATCGTCTACCAAGTTTATGCTCATAAGCCATTGTCTCCACTAAGCTTTGTCCAAATATAGCTAAAAAAACCAAAAATGAATATAAAACTTGAAGCAACCAACCACAAACAAGGTGTATATAATTATATATTTTATTCATCTTAACCTTTTATGTTCATTAACTTCTCTTTTTGAAAAAGAACAACATATTTTTGTGTCAGTAAATGTTACGAATTGAAAAAAATAAAAATTAGTCTCCAAACCACATTTCAACCCAATCATATTTAAGTTACAAAGAAGTTTTAATATTTATGACTGCAGATGCTGTTTATATCTGATGTACAAATAATATATAAGGCAATTACTTGAAGCAGTGTGCTTTTGACATAAGAGATTATCTACAGTATACTCTATTTTCTTTCTTTCTTGAAGAACTTACCTCCCCCAAAGGAGGAGTACATGACTTTTCTCATATCTTTGATCCATTTTTGTCGCTCCTCATCATTGGTTGCCCATAAGATGTAAGTTTCATGATTAGGGGCCATTTTTGTTTGTCCTTTACCTATAAAATTACATGGAACATTGCTTCACAAACATATTTGGGTACTCAAGACATAAACAAAGAGGGGATGTGATTACGCAATACATGTATTGAAAAATTCATCAAAATTTCTACAAGGATTTAATTTCAACTCAAAATCCAAGATCATGGCATTATGCTCAAATATCAACATATGCACCTGTTATATAACAATTCAATACTATTAATCTTCTCAATTAAAACTAAATTTGTACATTTTATGTACATTGTGTGGTCAATGCTAGAAGCCTTGTATAATAAGTACCTATAAATAGACTATGATGATAAAAATTATTAAAGCTTTTACACGCACATCTCATGTGCAATATGTTATTCAACTATGAATATAACAAGCCATAACAAACACGCCATCAATATTTGCATTGAACATAATATCTGTTTAGCATTATCACTGGTTATTGTTTTTATACAATGTTAGTTCATGCAAGCTTATTTATAAATACAGTGTAGCTTTTGAAATGAAATGATCATGTTAGTAATGCAATTGAAGAGTTTTTGTATGAAACAGGAAGTATCTAAAGCAACATTGACACAAGTTTACTCGATATCAAAGACAATCTCTTCCTGTTTTACAAGCATCCGACCACTGAAGAGTAATTTATCATATATTCTGAACTCCAATATGGAATATTTATCCTCTCTCCTAATAAAAGCATTTAAAGCCCGTATAACACATAACATAGTAAAATGTATTTAAGAAAATCATAATGCACATCTTGTCTTGTGTATTTCTTGTAAATCCAAATCAAATAATTTAACAATTAACACATGAAGACTGATACAGCATCCATTAAGCTGAAAATGAATATCTCTCTCCTTTCTATTGTTCATTCTTATATTCAGCATTCTGGTAGATTCAATTGATTGTTCTTAAAATGTGTATAGACAATAACTTAGCAGTATATTAATTTACTCTGTACATACTGTTGGACACGTCTAATTCAATTTTCTGTGAAATTACATGTAGGGAGAGGGCAAATAAAGTTTTTAGAACTTGTGCCCAATCCCTTTGTATATATTTATTGCAATAAAATATGTTCAAATCAATCATCCATCAAGTGATAATTAAATATTGCACTTATAATTAATGACATGGACGTCTTGAAAATAATGATCTTTGTTGTTATTAGTCTTGGCACTTATTTTTTTTACAAACATTTAATTTCCTCTCTGTGTAAAATTTATATTGCTTGATTAACAATATATATTTAAAATTTAATTTTCAAACAAAAGCTCAAGTATACTAGGATCAATGATAGATCATCAAACTTAATGAATTACCTTAAACTTTAAAGTGGATCATTCAATTTAATGAACATTGTGAATTTTAAAAAAGAAAATTGTATTTTTTCCCCTTTCAGTCGGGTACATCTCATAACCTTCAGCATTGACACAATGATTATCATAATTGAAAAATATTCATCTAACACTCCTGTTAGAATGGAGAGATCTTTTATAAAAGAGATAGAGATTGGAGAAAAAAGCAAGTTATACTGAAATGTGATTACTTCACCTGGATCATCCATTAAAGACACTTCTAATAACAAGAATAAATGATACCAAAAAGGGATATACAAAAGATTTTATTTATATCTATTAATACCACATGAATAGCTTTGATTGCTTTGGGTTTATTATATAAGGTGAATGCATTTGCTTCACTATCTATTTATATTTCTTAACAGTTTTACACTTATTATAATCTGTATCTTAATATTGATAAATGAAGATGAAACTTATCAATTTGACTAATCAATATATATATATATATATATATATATATATATATATATATATATATATATATATATATATATATATATATATATATATATATATATATATGTATGTATGTATGTATGTATGTATGTATATATTCCAAATAAATGAATAAAAATTAATTTCAGCAGATGCTTAAATGTGATAAATATCTAATATACATACACAAAAAATCTACAGCTTTATTTGCATCACATTGGATATACAGAAACTAAATACACAAAGGATTGTCACTATTGGCAAAGAATGCTTCTGTCTCTTACCTGCACTTATCTCAAATAAACATTTTTCTGGATCATCTGGATTAAATGGAACCTCGGACACCCTATTTCCAGGGAGGAATATGCAGCCCAGGGGCCGGGAATCATCCTCTTTGGCGAAATAGAAGAGGAAATCATTGTTGAGACAGAACCATCTCCGATGCCAGGTCCTCACCATCCCCCCTTGCTTCTTCAGCCAACCACATCGTATGATTCGCTGACGTTGGACTGCATTCATGTTTTTTTCTGCATTCAGAAACAAATAAAATTTACAAACATAAATCCATTAAATGAATTTTTGAAAGCAAGGTGATTCACACCTAGTTTTCCTTTTTTAATAAAATTCAACATCGACCTTTTTAAATATGAAATAATAGTATTGATAAGTGACAATTTAGTGATGATTTAAGGAAAATTAGAATAATTCTTCCTTATCCATTCTTTTGCTCAGACCTTGGTTACCTGAATTAACTAAATTTATATTAAAAATGTACTATTCAGTGACATATATATTCTTTCAAAAGGTCATCAAATACAGGATCAGATGCTAACTCATAAATAAGATTAATATCCTCCTCCCCTCTTAATTTTTTTCCTGCTAAAACAGTGATAGACAAGGATCATCTTAAATTAACTTTAAAGAAAATGGAAAAAATTATCAGTGACAATACTAAGCCTTGCATTATCATAGAACAAGCTTTTATTAATGAATCTAAATTAACACATGTAATTGGTCATAGATACATTAAAGCATGCCAAATGAATATTCTCATTAACAATCAGTAATTTTCATTTGATCTATTGATTAAAACCAGAGAAAAAAATAACAGTGATCTGCAACTGTTCAAAATCTTGTGGGCCCTTAGATTGTTTACTTTTTCCAAATCTTGCACTGTTCAAATTAAGATCTGACAAAATATGAATTTTTTTTTAGAAAAACTTTAAGAATAATGCCAAGTCGGTGACATACTTTATCAGATAAACTTGTCAATGGCTGGGATCTCTATTATTGATGTTTCTCACTATAAACAGATCAGAATAAAATTTTAAAAAGTGATAATGTCATGTTAATTGTCTACAAATATCATAATGTCTCTTAATTTGTCAAAATATTGACAATATTATATCAGCTGGACGATAAATTTGCTGCAATTTTATTTACACTTTTTTTATATGAAGTGTTAAAATTGAAGGATATTAGTTTCCAAAAGATACCATCATTTGATCAATATACTGTGAATTCACTAATTTTCCTGGGGATTTAATATTCATTGGTTTCATGGTATGAAGAGACCTTCAAATTCATATCCCACATAAAATATTTAAATTTCTTACAGCAATATATGATGCTCCTCAAACCATGAAATCAAATCCCCTCGAATCAATAATTTTTCCACAAACCACAAAAATCTGACCCTATGAAAATAAGGGATTTTACAGCAATATATTTAATTTCAACTTTTCAATACCCTAGATATATACACAAACTATAAATAATAATTCAAAATATTCTGTAAAATACATACTAGCTGAATCTGAATAAGGATGTGACTGAAACATTATTCAAGAAATAAATGCTCTGAATATGGCGAAAACAAAATGAAAATTATTCATGTATTATCAATAGGAAATATGAAGCTATGCACACAGCTGTGAATATATTGCTGACAGGTTATTCAGCTGAGACAAAATAAGGATGTCGTTCTGATTTATACTTTTTATATAATTTACACCCTTCATTATGAATGTTGAATTTGAAAATAACACTATATACCATACATTTAGAATCAACGTTTAAATCCCTATCCACATTACAGAGTGCATGACAACTCTGTGCACATTTTGCATATCATTACCCAAAACAAATAGGCCTACATACATTGATGTCTATCCATGTTTATAAGATTAAGCAAGATGCTAGCAGTTTAGAGGCAGGATGTCACACACGGAAGTTGAAGAAAAAAACGAGAACAGCGGATTAAAAAATTAACAACTCTTTGCAAACTGTACTACTTAAAAAAGGCCGTTAGTTTAAAAAAAAAGAGCATAGCACAGACCTTGTGAGCTTTACATCACGGGTTGTGAGCTATCTGCTCTTTTACCATTACAACTCTCTCCATTTATTGACACTTCCCCGACACTTCCTGTGTGCACAGGTTTCCGTGACGTTTCATATTGAGAAACAAATTATTTTCTCGCACAATTAAAATAAATGAATATTACACAATTTTTATCGTCAAATATTCACATTATTTTGCACATGACTAGGAAATTAGAATTTTGTAATTAAAATCTCGTCGCATCGATAATTAATTTTCCTCGAAATCAATGACGTCACACACATCAAAATAGAAAGGAGAGATCAACAAATCCCGGCATTATTAGGTAAATTTGTTTCTGTCCTTCTTTGTTGATGAAATGTTAATAAATGTTGTTAGAATATTTTACAAAAGTGTCAAACTCATGGCATAAAAGATGAAATTTGTGGTACCAATTGATGATTGACATGAAATTCAGATAACAAGCCATGATCTAATTTTGAAATGTCAATAAAATGAAGAATATTGAATATGTATTAGCTCTGGAATATTAAAAAAAATATAGCATTATGTGACTTTTTTGGTCCTATTTAGTGTAGGTGATTAGAATTGTTCTTTAATCACCTTGACCACGTTGGTTTGTTTCATATAAACTGATAAATACATCCTAGCTCTTCTGGCAAACATTTTGTCATGTTTAAAGATGCAGTGTACCACAGAAAAGGGAATAAATGTGATATGTAAGGAAATTTAACTTGTGACATCCAAATTTTTACATCCCTAAAGTACATGATTGGCAAGTTTATTCTATCTAAGTCCCGTTTCTGACTGCTCTTAATTTAATTCCTTCTTTCAAAAGTCGAGATACACTCTGTACTTCTGATATAATATACTAACTTTATTCTCCCTTTTTATATGTACGACCTTCTGCTTGCAACATTTCATTCACACATTTATGTATTGTTAAAGATTACTTACAAATATAACCAATAATATAATTTGTTAAGATTTGTTCTCACTTATAGATACCAAATATTTATCTTTGAAATTAACGCGTCACAAAAATTAGGTGATTCACAGTATGTGTCAGGGCTGGAAATAATTATTTTTGTTTACTGTTCACTTGGGCTATCTCCTTACATTTTTACTGGTCAGCTTAGTACTTTCACTGTCCTACTGGGCCAGTGGATTTTAGAAAGACTGGCCCAAAACCATAATAATATTTTTTTATATTGTACGTGATACTTTATAGAAGTACAACTTAATTAACAAAACAAAAAACAGCAGAAGTTGGGATACACAACCCTGTCAAGTTAACTAGCCCGACTGTGAATGAATTTTATCATGCATAAAAAAAATGCTGATCCAAAGGGCACATGCCCTCTGCAATGTACTAGCCCAGATTGAAAATTCACTGGCCCCAGACCAGCTGGCCATCAATTATTTTGAGCCCTGTATGTACCAGAAAATTACTGTCAATGGAAACTGACACTTTCAATGCAGCCTTGCAATATGGTCATCTGTTAGCACTCTAGACAACTGAGAATTATGAGTAGCTACTACAAAGTTCTACTTACAGAGCAATGACCTTGAACAATATGCTAGCATAGGCACTATGCTGGGATAACAAGCGTTTCATTCATACAGTGCATTTATTAGACTATGTCTGTCCTTTTTCCTAAAGAGAATTATACCAAAATAAACCATATATCTTTTTTGAGCTTCATACTAGTACTAATTTAGTAATTTACACTGATGGTCTGTTGAAACAAATTTAATTAAAGTTACTGTAATATCTACACATATAAAGATCTGACAGTGTAAGGTTGGTGTAGGATTTGCACCCTGAAACCTGAATAGTGTCTTAAACTACCTAGGCATTTGTCAGAGATGAACCTGATCAGAAACCTCAGGTGCGGATCCAGGAATTTTTTCCGGGGGGGGGGGGGGGGGGTCCATCCCAGTCAATTTCCAATCCAGAAATTTCTTGATAAGCAAAACCCCCCAACCCCCAACCCCCAACCCCCCCCCCCAAAAAAAATAAAAGGTAAAGTCCATTCCCAAACATAAAAATTACCTATTTCCAGGTGATGGTGGTGGGGTCCACATTTTCTAAGGGTGATCCAAAGTAATTTTTTATTTGCTTCAGTATACTTTTAACGACTTTGCAAATTCCAAGGGGGGGGGGGTCTGTGGGGGTACAGACACCCCCCCTCCCTAGATCAGTGAATGAACCTATTCATGCATAATTTGCAATAAAATTACATGGCATACTATAAAATTAATTACCATATGATTTATATATTTTTTAAATTTTAATCTTATAAAATAATAATAATATATATACTTAATGCCATTATGTTTTATTCATTTATTTATTTATTTATGTTTCATATTAAAGTTAGCAGTCTCAAATGTATACAAAATAAGATAATGGATAGAACTGAATTATAGCATTGCTCTCTTGACCAAGTTTTAGAAAATAAGGATTAGAAAGGGCATTTTTTTTTCTTCTGTATTTGTGTTGAAACATGAAACAGATTGTGCCTTTCACTCTTTGGAAAAGCAAAGCACTGAATATTCGTGTCTGTCACTGTCTTAAAATCAATAGTAATTGTCACAGTGTCTGAAATTATCCCATTTGCTTGCCAACTAAATGGAAGAATCTGTTGGAGAAAAGAAGAAAAATTGAAGTTCTTTAATAATTTATACATTATTGCTTTTGTTACGTTGATTTAAAAAGATATTGTAAATGAGCAAAGAGCATGATGAAAGACCTCTTTCTGCATACAAGGTATAATGATAAGTCTGTTACACAATAATATATAATACATGTATGTATTCATTCTTTTTTTTATATTAATACATGTAATATGTAGATCCACAGAACAAATTTTGACCATGTCTTACAGAAAAGGAGTGAGCTGGGCCCTTACACCTGATATTTCCTATTTTAATTGAATCTAAAAAAATAAATCATGACACTGATGCATGATTATATATATAATACATGTATATATGTTATTTGTTATACATGTAACATTTGGCAGTATTTGAACAAGTTTTAATTTTAAAATTGATAGAAAGACTCTTGTGAACATAATATAAACTTAACATTTTTAACATGATGTTTGCCAGGTAGGATTTAAAACAGAATATTGGTGATTACTATCTTTGATTTTCCTTGGGCAACATGATTTTCTTCAATTTCTTTGCAAAAATGAAGAGCACAAATGATGAGAATTAAGACCTTTGCAAGAAAAGAATTGCTATACTAGAAGTGTGGAAAATTCAGTACAATTTTCTTTTCAAAGATGTCATGATAAATGGAAATGAGAAATTTTTCCTCATGCTAAATATTTATACATGTACAGATCATATAACTTTTATTTCAGAATATTTATAAATAAAATTGACTATATTTACAGGGATTGGATTAAAAGGTTGTGGCTTGTGAAAGTGATGTGAAATTGTGAAGCAGATAACTAAATTCGTCCACATCAACCAACTTTTTTGTACATTTACATGCAGATGCATTTAAATCTGGTAAGATTTTTAGAGAATTTTGCCATCAACCAATATCAGACTTTTCAGATTTATAAATTTACCTTCAATATCTGTCCATGAATTAACACTGTATGTGTCAGAAGAGGTCCTTATTTGGGACAGGCATGAGCCCATGGAAGATGTACTCTGCTGTTAGTCTAAAAAAGGAGGGGAAAAGTATACACACCTTTCATTTTGAAGACATAGTTTCCACTATAGTTTTGATTCAGGCTGTCAGTAGTATTAGTGTGAAAGAGTATTTTGTAGAAATTCCTCAGTTAGAAACAAAATAATTAGATTAAAAAAAAAAACAAATGTAAGACAATTCTTTAAGAAAATGCATTTAAGGACAATACTACATTTCTTAGTTTGCATGCTGTATTTCAATGGTGTTTAAAAATATTTTGGTAATAGTTGGAATAGATGAAGATCAAATAAAATTTGTGATTTCTTATGATAGTAGCCACACAATGCTGATTTTACTGTTTAGATGGATACCAAGAAGAACTAATAGAATAATAATGAGTGAGACAGCCTCCAACACCTACCACACTGTGGAGGTAGGGGATTCCACATTCGACATTCTAGAACGTTACAGTAATCTCAAACCTATAGGATCTGGTGCTCAGGGAATTGTTTGGTAAGTTACAGAGAGGAATTCCATGTGAAATTGAAGTTTTGAAGGATATGTGATTTTTTGGTTAAAGTACAGAATAAATCCTTCCTTGAATACTAAAATAAAAATAATGCCTGTTTGAAGTTTCATGACAGTTAAGATGTAGTTGGTATTGACTAACTCAGTCATAGGAAGTGATATGTTGTAGGCTTTAAATTGTTACTTTGAACCTGTTATCTTCTTTGGCAGTCTATGAAAATGTGCCTCATTAAAAAAAAAGTATAGGAGGCCTGTAAATCTAGGATCCACCCATAAATCCTTGTGTAAATAGACAATCTACATGTATAGCTAGCTACTGAGCTTTATGTTATGCATAAATATAAAATTTGATAAGATTTATGTAACATTAACTTTGCATTTTATGGAAAAGAAATACCTGTACTTGAATTAAAAAAAAATATTCCAAGGATGGTGAAAAATAAAATCATTTAAACTGTGTAAATTGAAGAGAAATTATAAGTTGAAGTCTGACTACAGATACTAAACACGAAGCATGCATTTCTGTTTAATGAAAAGCATTAAATATCGTAATTTTCCTGTTCTGAGTCATGCCTTAAATTAATTTGATGAGGAGAACCATTTTCATAAAAAGCCATGAATAGTGTCACACTTAAAAGAATATTTGATTTCAACATATCTAACTGATGAATAAATAACACAAGTTCTGTTGAGTTTCAGTTCTATAAAACCACTCATTAGATTAACAGTTGTTGAAAAAAAAGTTTTAACAAAGAGATTAAGCACTTACAACCTTGGTCACAGAGCCTTGTACAGGAAGCAGGAAGGTGGTTTTTCATGGTACTAGGCTCTTGGAGAAGGATAGGGACATTAAAATGATTTTGTTAATTTAATAGATGTAAATTGTGTCAACCTGTACACATGGAGTCTGTACTATTATAAATAAGCAATCATACAGTTTTGTTGTGTACAATTAAACTTTAGACCGATATATCGATACTATATAGGAATGATTCCTGATTCAAGTTTTCTGTATGGAAACATTATCAACCTTAAACGAGTTTTTCTGTCCTTGTTTTATTAGGCCCAAATTAGTGCATTATTTCATTCATGATGATTTTTGTAGATCTAGTAAAATTATATATTTTTTAGACTGAGTAAATTTATTTGATAATGGGCTTTGAATTGTCATATATTATAAAGTGCTGTAGGTCTTAAATTAAAGATGAAAAATATCATTATATTATCTTAGGTGATTTATTATAATTGTAAAGTTCAATTCTCTTTTCAGTGCTGCCTATGATTCTGTGACTGGACAGAATGTAGCCATTAAAAAACTTAGCCGTCCTTTCCAAAATGTCACCCATGCTAAACGAGCATATAGGGAATTTGTGTTAATGAAGTTAGTCAACCATAAAAATGTAAGTTTATGTATTTTATTTCTCTTATCTAATTAGAATTCTGTTTTGATTTATAGATAAAAACAATAAAAATTTGAAATTTAACAACTTTTTACAGATTATTGGATTATTAAATGCCTTCACCCCACAGAAATCTCTGGAGGAGTTTCAGGATGTGTAAGTGTTTCATTGTCTATGATTACCTGTATTAAATACATAATACATTAAAAAAAATCTAATGTCTACAGGATTTAAGTAAAATATTATTGGATTAAAAGTAGAGTGAGTTACAGTAATGTTAGGTACTTTGAACAGGTACCTCGTGATGGAGCTGATGGACGCTAATTTGTGCCAAGTCATCAACATGGATTTAGACCATGAGAGAATGTCTTATTTGTTGTATCAAATGTTGTGTGGCATTAAACATCTGCATTCAGCAGGGATTATTCACAGGGTGAGCAGTGTCATTCATGTGGAATAATTGCAGAAAAATAAAGTATGCTAGGATTCATTCTACATTCAATTTACGTGTATTTATACAATGTAGAAAGATGTGTACGCAGCAATTAATGTATATGATATTTTTGCTATACATTTATGAGGTGCATTTTAGTGGAATTGAAAAAATTTTTACATTTGTTTTTCAGGATCTGAAGCCAAGCAATATTGTTGTAAAGTCAGACTGCACACTGAAAATCTTGGACTTTGGCCTGGCTCGAACGCAGGGCACAGGTTTTATGATGACACCATATGTAGTAACTCGTTACTATAGAGCTCCCGAGGTCATTCTAGGAATGGGATATACAGACAATGGTAAGGCTGTTTTCTGAAGAAGAACTGAAAATAATCATTTTTATGCCCCCCTTCGAAGAAGGGAGGGCATATTGCTCCACTGCTGTCTGTCTGTCGGTCCACCAACAGTTTCCGTTCATTTTCTTCGCAGAGGTTGCACATACTGAAATGAAATTTGGTATACAGATTAATCATAAAAATATTTAGGTCAAGTTCTTTTTTTGGTATGATCGGGCAATTTTTGACAGAGTTATGCCCCTTGGACTTTGAAAAATTCCAATTATTTGCAGTTTCCATTCATTTTCTTCACAGAGGTTGCACATACTGAAATGAAATTTGGTATACAGATTTATCATAAAAATATCTAGGTCAAGTTCTGTTTTGGGTATGATTGAGCAATTTTTGACAGAGTTACACCCCTTGGACTTAGAAAAATTCCTATTACCAGGGGTATTTGGGGGTTGGGGGAGAGGGGCATAAGTGTTTCACAAACATCTCGCGTTAGATTTGATTTGCATGTATTTTCTATGTGGAATTTTGACAAATGCAACCACAGTAGGATCATTGCACAAAGAATCTACTTTTTAATCTTGTTTTAAAAGGAAATGAGTGATCTTTTGATATGGGTTGCTTGAGTAATATTTGTGTCTTGTTTCAGTGGACATATGGAGTGTGGGGTGTATCATGGCAGAACTCATACGAGGGGCTGTCATGTTTCCAGGAAGTGATCGTATCCTTAAAATTGTAGCTTTAAAAGTATCGGGTTTATCCAAAAGATAATCAGAATATTCCATAGTCTTTACAGCAGTGAATCAAGTTTCTGAATGCTACAAATCTTTCGTAAGGAATTGGGTACAAATTTTCAAAACTTGAATGCATATATGTAGTAAAACAAGGTTATAGCAAACACACTTACCGTATAATGAATTTACACTTACAGTGAAATGGTTTTCTTTCCCTATGGATGTAAAATATAATATGTAAACTTAATGGATATAACAAGTTAGGATTATAACAAATCAAAATTGTTGGTTCCTGTCACTTTGCTATAAACATGTTTTACTGTATACCATATCCCCAATACGTTCTATTTCCACTATGGAAGAGTTATACTTCTTAGTGCGCTCTTTTGTGAAAAAGTCGGAAAATGTACAAATCTCGCGGGATTTCTGGGACAAACGTAACATAAACATGTAAACAATATGTTGAATGTCGATGAACAGTTCCTAAGAAAATGCAAATGAAATATTTTATTGTTGTGGACTTTATATACATCAAGAGTAGGAATGACAACAATATCAATTTATATCTATTGTTAATCATATGTATCTATTTATCATGTGGTACATCTAAATACAATATACATGCCTTGGAAATGATGTATTTTTTATTAATGGATGATAAATTTAGGGTTCTCGCTCTCTTACATATGTCTTTTAGTTCTTCTATTCTTTAATTGGAATGACAAATACATTTAACATTTAAAATTGGATTGAGATTGGCATGTTTTGTATTATCTGCCGCGTCATGCTGTCCAAGTCAGACGACCAAACGCGCCTTTAATTTTGAAGAGTTCACTAATGGAAATAGAACGTATTGATTCTCTATTTACTGTAAGTTTCTGAAGTGAAGAATGCTAAAAGGCTTATAAATCAATGCTAACTATAGAAAACAGAGACTGTAATTAGTAAAAAGGGAAAGTATATCCTTAATTATAACATAGATATTGATCAATGGAACAAGATAATTGAACAGTTGGGAACACCTTCCAGAGAATTCATGCAGAGGCTGCAACCAACAGTGCGTAACTATGTGGAGAATCGTCCCCGTTATGCAGGATATAGTTTTGAGAGACTATTCCCTGATGTCATATTTCCCCAGGACAGTCAGGAACATGCTGGTCTGAGGGCCAGTATGGCTCGTGATTTGCTATCCAAAATGTTAGTGATAGATCCTGAAAAAAGAATAACCACTACTGAGGCATTACAACATCCGTACATTAATGTATGGTACGATGAACAGGAAGTGAATGGGGTAAGCTTCGAAGTGGGATGACTAGAGATTTTTTGTGGTGTTGATTGATTGATTTATAATTGTATAAATTTATGGTGATATTAAGAAAAAGGTTGACAGAGTATAAACTCAGCATACTTGCAGGGTTAGAAACTCCCTAAAATTACAACTCGCAAATAATTGCGAGTACCAAGAAAGTGAACTCGCAATTTTATAAGACTACTCGCAATTTTCATATAAAGTTAAATTTATATAAATTAAATACATGTAACTTAAGGAAAAAGTAACTACTGCACAATACACAAAATATAACTACAGTGCAACTTCTATTTAAATTACTGATTTAAATCAAAGGCATTGTGTTCTGTTATAATATATAATTTTCAATTTCAGTTTCAGTTTCAGTGCCAAAAAAATCAACTCGCAAGTTTTTGCGAGTTACCTAATTTTTAACTCGCAATTTTGGAATTCTAACTCGCATTTTGCGAGTTGTATGTAGTGAATTTCGAACCCTGATACTTGTAGTCATTTCATTTTCTAAATGCTGTATTTCCTGGTTTACAGCCAGCACCTGCACCTTACGACCACACTGTAGATGAACAAGAACACACAGTGGAACAGTGGAAAGGTTGGTTTATTTTTACAGCAATGTTGGATTTGTTTTGATTTGATTCCTGCTGTACAGTCCCTTTTATATTAAAGATAAGAATAGTCTTTTTTTGTGTGTGTGTTGGAAAAAAGAATCTTCATTGCACAGTTTGTAAAACAAGTCTTTGTATTTCATAAAATTTTAGAATTTATGTTGTAATTGAACATGCAAATTTTTTACTTGGAAGATTTCCCTGATATAAAATAATACATTAATTAGGAGAGACAGTTTTTTTTACCCACAGAATAATTATAGAGTATACCCCTTACATATATTAGGCGTAACAAAAAATATGTTTGTTTATGGTTACCCGACCGACCCTATATTTAATTGCCGACCCAAATTTTTTTTTCGTCGTAAAAATCCAGAAGTCACTCACCGGTCAGTTAAACTTTTACATGCATCTTAATCAGTCAACGGTTTGAAATCGAAAGTACTAGAAATAGACTATTTCTAGTACTTTCGATTAAATTATCATAATTTTTTCCCCCCGTTTTTACATGGCGATACCGCGATGCATTCAAGATCTCCCGCCATGCATCAAACATTGCCACTATGCTTCCCGCTATGCATGAATTATTAATGGTATACATTTTTTTTAAGAAGATGATTTACTTTGAATGTTATCAGCTATTAAATTAATAAAACAATTCAGATCACTAGAATCCTACAAACATGTTGCGTACCTGTGGTGAACTCGATGCAAATAACGGTACGGGGTATGATGCAATAGCTGTTAATTTATGTTTATTGCAATTTACTGGTATGTTATTAAACATTAAGTTTTTATTTGATTAAAATATTTATAACCATGAAAAATTAATTAATTGCTGTAAGATAGTATACACCGTGAAAGTAATACACTTGTTATTGCACATGTGGGTTTTTCCAACATTTCCAGGTCATTCTATAAATAGCATTTATGTTCCGACATCAAAAAGGATTCATTAGTTAAACACATAATTCTTAAACCATATTTAGCATAAATATATGCTTAAAATAAACATGTCCTACACGTGTATAAACATTATCATTGTTTATTTACTCTATGAACTATGGGCTAGTACTTTGGTCAAGCGCACGTGCTTTAATACACAATGACCTACATTCAACAGCTTACGTTGAAAAACAAACATGTTGTCATTGGTGCTACAAAGCGTGCACCCTTTTTTGTTTAAAGATGACTGTAAAAGTAGGGACAGCCAAAAATGAAGTAAATTTAAAAAAGGGGGTCACTATAGGGCCTATTCAGTTTGTAGAGAACAAGAATAAAACAGCACATAAAAAGACAGTGGCTAATTAGAGGACAATAAAAATAACCCCCCCCCCCCCCCCAAAAAAAAAAAAAAAGAGATGATTAGATCTATTTTTATAAAAAAAAAAAAAAAGAAAAAAAAAAAAAATCAATTGTTTGTTTTTTTTAAGTTAAATTGACAATTTATTTAAAATGTATTTATCATTTAAATTTAAAAAAAAATGTAAATGAATACTGGTAATGCATTTGTAATTTTCACTTATATATAGATTCAGATACATGTACAAGTAACTCAACCGAGACATGCTGCACGCCGTCAATTCAGCAAAATTCCCCCCATGCATTAAATTTTGTCTGGGGAAAATCCTGAATTGATTAGTCAGTGCAACATGGAATTAAAGAAGAAATGCAAAACAGTTTTACCACTGTGTGGTAGCTGTAAGGCAGTTGACAAGAAAGATATTGTCTATCGCCCCTATGGCAAGCCCAAACAAAAGTAAAGCATCAAATAAATAGTAAAACTGTTTTGTATTTCAACCAATTCATGTGAATTTGTAAATAAAAATCAATAAAATAAAAAAAAATTCCTACCTACCGACCCTATTTTTTTTCAGCATGTAACAGTAAACAAACATATTTTTTTGTTTGGCCTTAAGAGTTTTTGCTATTCATTGTAGAGTTAATTTATAATGAAGTTATGTCATATGAAAACCAAGGTCAAAACCCTGGAAAACAGCCAGCACAACCTATGCAAAATCACTCAGGTAAGTTTGTCTTGATCAAAGTTTTATGTTTGAAATCTATTTCACATTTGTTAAAACATGTAGAAAAATTAATCAAAAAATATTGGACTGGTAAGTGATTAATGAATAAATAGATTCCAGGAAGTGTTCGTTTTACATATTGATATACACAACTCTTTGAATGAGAACTACTTTTCTTCAGAGATGAGTATGGATCTACAAAAAGCAGGTATTGCCTGTTAGCCCACAGAATGCCTTCCTTCAAATTTGGTGCCTGAAGCAAAACATTGAAAAATCAGCCAGCTTCTCTCCCTTTGCTTGTTTTAAAGAAATAATTGATAGATTGTTATACAAGTTGTTTCTTTTCAATCTCCCATTCAGAAATATTGCAGATGGTGCTGGCTCGTGTTTTGTTGGAAATGCTTTGGTTGTTTAATCTGCATCAGATCAAAGCTTCCATTTAGTACAGTAGTAGTTTCTTTTCCTAATGGTTAAAATTCTAATCTGTATGTTGTTCTTTTAGTTGAAACATTAAATGTAATACATGTACAGTGTATAACTTTGATGTTTAGCTAAATGTCTTGTGAAAACAAAAACGAAGTTTTAATACTAATAAGTAATAATTTATTCAAGTAATACATTTTTTTCAATGTAAACAAGATGAATTTCATGTTAGGTCCTTACTTGCAAATGAGACCCAAAATTTTAATTCATAAACTATGGAGGCTTTGTATTGTCACTCTCCCTAACCAGTGAATTTACACTATTCAAGGATTCATGAATTTTTTTTTTGTCAATCCAGTATACACTAAAAAATATAGTTACTTTCTAGCTATTTGAATGGTCTTCCCATGAACAGACTTCTTAAGAATTTCCTGTTCCTAGAGGCAATTGCTCGGCCAGATTTGCTTTATGGCTGTGCATCAAATATTCTGAAGGCACAAAAGCCTATCTGCTATTTGGTATGGGCTTGCAAAAAAAAAAAAAGACAAGAAAAAAATTGTGCTAGTTCAAAAAATTATGCTTAGTCATTCCCTTTTCAGCACAGAATTGCTTTCACTTTGGGCAAAATTGGGCATGATTTGATCAACATCCAATGCATGATATGTCACCATTTTAACTTAATTTTACAAATAGTGCTAAGAAAATTGGGGCCTATTAAATTTTTTTTTAAAATTGTGGTACATGTATCAAAATAGAGTTTTTTTTTCAATTGTATTTTATGAATGATTCCTGTTTATGTATTTCAGCCTGAGACAAATCCGTGAGTCATTCAGTAATGTAATATTTGTACTTCAGTGGGAGCCGTGAACAATGAGAGTGATGTGCCCATGGCTGATGGAACTAGTCAGAAATAATGTGTATAGTGCTTGTAATTTATTGGAGCTGGGAGAGTCAAGTCCTTCAGCATTGAGAGCTCTGCATTTTAACTGTGATTAGGATATTAATTTAACCTTCTAGATGCAAAATGCTTCATGTTAAATATTTTAACTGGCCATGTGAATTTTTTTTTAATTTGTCAAATTTTGTCCAGTGTGCATATTTTGTTTTGTTTATTATTTTTTTTTTTTTGTCTTGGAATTTATGAAATCATTTTGCTCATAAAAAATATTAAGTAATGTGAAAATTTGTTGATATGATTTACAAATTATCCCAAAATTTCTTCATTGCACATCCAAATGGTACTCTGTATAATATATATACTAATTTAACAGATATAAAATATCTTAAGAGTGATTCAGAATCTCAAATGTATCTAACACCTGTAAGAAATATCATATGTATAAGTGGTAAATTTCTATGTATAAGGAGAGGTTATCTATTAAATTTTAATGCATGACCCATGTATTTGTTTTGTGACAAATTTTATTTTAAAGATTAATATTCTTTCTACAAAGCATGTGAGGATTTGGAATAATTTCATTATCCCTACTGTGTGAATTTGTATGTAAGGTATTTTGCTGTACATCATGATGAGAAAAGAGTTACGTGTCCCTTAAAATGATTTGTCTGTATGTGACAGAGTATGACAGAGGTTGTCAATAATTTGTGTGCAATATTAATATACATGTGTGTTATGTTCACAGTGATTTTATGTAGGATGTTTGACATAGTAACCATAAATTATTTGTAAGTAGATAAATTGTATATATACAATGTATGTATGAAGTGAATGACCTCTGAGAAAGGTCACTCTACATGAAAGGTCAATTTCATGAATCTCTATGAAGTTGACACACATTCCATGTCAATATTTAGTGTGTTCTACTTTGGAAATCCTTTTTTCCCGATCTATTTTGTCACTAGTGAAATTTACACACTGTATAAACAGCTGATGAGGATATGTTTCAAGACCCCTAGATGAAACTGTTGATGTTTTATATTGTGTAACCAAGTCTGAATTGTAGAAGGACTCTCAGATGTGTTTACAGATATTTTGGTCTTCCAATCTTTTAACTAAATTTTTAACCACCTGTGTTTTTGTGTTTTTTAATACAGACTTGGAGTGTGTAAATTGTACCTATCATTTATGTTATATTTAGCACTCTGACATCGCTGATGTGGTCTCTAAAAGGAATATCTAGTAAGGTTTATATCAAAATGATAGTTTTGACAGAAAAAAAAATAATATGTAAACAAAAGCATACATATACTTCATAACTTTAATTATGTATAGAAGAGAATTGGGGTTTTCATAGCTTATATGATTTAATCATGCATATAATACAATGAAGTTGCAAGATTAATTTATTTTCGGTTATATTGAACACAAAAAAATCTTGTATATCTCTTGCTTCTTCAGTGATTAAGTTTTGATTTGCTGCTACATTAAGGAGCTCTTATTCAGTAGCTCCTACTCTGACCTCAGTCTTGTGTTATGCTTATGATGAGGCTGCGATTGTTTCCTGCATAGTATTACTGATATGTTTATCATGTCCATTATGTATCTCCAATGCTGGCATGGAAAAATATTAAAAAGGGATGTAATTTTCATGTTGTAGTTTTGTCTCTGAATGGTGACTGACAGATGTTAAAATAATACATAGCACTAGATTTTCTTGCTTTTTTCCCCCGTCTCTTCCTTTTCCAATTAAACCATTAATAATCATTGAATTTGATGAAGTGTATTAGAATCAGATGCAACCAAGAAAGTTAAAAGTTTTCGGTGAATAGACCACTACCTAAGGTGGATCTCATGAGCATAGACACTTAATATTGAAGGTCACAGGCACTTGATGTTACATATTTTTCTTATCACAAAACTAGATATCATTGAGATGGTGGCCATCTCAAAGGGCCCCACTTTCAGCAATGAACATGGAAATGTAAGGTAGCTGAAAAGGGTTTATTTTGAAGAGGAACATTTGTGTACTATTAAGGGATGTGTTGTTTGAGTCTGAAGGGCTTCTATGTTATCCTCGTAGTTATAAAAAATGGCACGAAAATCACGAGTGCTCAACACCTTCCATCAAAAAACGGCACAAAAATCACGAATGCTGCATATCCTCTATGAAAATTGTTGCATATCCTCTATCAGAAATATGAAGGGAAAATCACAAATGATCCGTACCCTAAGTCAGTTGGTAAGGTTTGAGGCTGACTGGACTTAAGGGAAAGAAATTATGCACCGAACAAAGATTTTAAACAGAGAGGCTATTTTTGAAATTGACCCTTGACCTAGAAACTTCCTTCAAGGTCACTGCACATCCACTGACAAGTGGCACTCTGTGAGTGAAGTATGAGCCACATTGGACCAAGGGGAGAGAAGTTATGCTCTGGACAAGGACTTTTCATATAATTCTGCTATGACCTTAACCTTAGACCTAGAAATATGGTTCAAGGTCACAGCACACCCTTTACCCAAAGACACTCTGTGGGTGAAGTATGAGCCAGATTGGGCCAAGGAGAGAGAAGATATGCTCCGGACAAGAATTTAAACAGAGAAGCTATTTTTTGACCTTGACCCTTGACCTAAAAACTTTGTTCAAGGTCACTTCACATCCATTGAACAGTGGCACTCTGCGAGTTTACCCAACGGTACTCTGTGGGTGAAGTATGAGCCAGATTGGGCCAAGGAGAGAGAAAATATGCTCTGGACAAAAAATTAAACAGAGAGGCTTTTTTGACCTTGACCCTTGACCTAAAAACTTTGTTCAAGGTCACTGCACATCCATTGACCAGTGGCACTCTGTGAGTGAAGTATGAACCACATTGGATCAAGAGGAGAGAAAATATGCTCCGGACAAGGATTTTTCATATAATTCTGCCATGACCTTGACCTTAGACCTAGAGACATGGTTCAAGGTCGCTGCACACCCTTTACCCAAAGACACTCTGTGGGTGAAGTATGAGCCAGATTGGGCCAAGGAGAGAGAAGATATGCTCCGGACAAGAGATCTCAGATGGACAGATGGACAGACTGATCACTATAGGGCACCCGCAGAGCGGGGCCCTAAAAATATAACACTTCCTAATAAATAAGGGATTATATTTTATGTGATAAGAAAACATATAATGTAATGCCTTGTTCACACGGAGAGTTTAATTCGAATTAAATGTAAGTTACTGCGAATTGAATTTGATCCACGTTCACATGAGGAATTTAATGTGAATTAGTTTAATTCGAATTAGTTTATTGGGCATTATATTACTTCGCAATTGCTCCGTGTGAACGCCAAGCAAAGCTAATTTGAATTCAATTTTGAAGCATGCGTAAGGGCAGAATTAAGTCACAGCCACATGTCAATGGTCAAATATAGGTACTTGTGCTATTTTTGAGTGGAAAACAAAGGAAACTTATGTTAATCACTAAAATATGTACAGACACTATGACATTATGTCAAATGTATATCTGCTCTGCACAATATGACGTGTTGTAAATGACGTCATAATAGCCTCACTGAATAGCTTTGTTGTAGAAATAAAATTATAATTCGCATTAGCTTACTTCACATTAGTTGACATGTGAACGCAATTTAATTCACATTAGTTTAATTTGTGTCATTTTACTTCGCATTAATTTACTGCGAATTAAACTCTCTGTGTGAACAGGGCATAAAGTGCCTTTCTTATAAGTGTATAAGTAAGAAGGTTATCTCTATGATATGACACTGCACAATAAAATTATCAAATTTTGAGGGCTGACTAGTCATGGATTCACACTATGCAAGATAAATATTTAACAAATTACAACCATCAGAGTATTTTTAAATTCCAAAAGCAGATCACTTTGACCTATTTTGGGTTGGTACAATATTCCAAGATGCATCACCACATGACTGTTATTCAACCAGGCATATTAAATTAGAAAGAAAGCATATAAATGAGAGCTAAATTGTGTTCAGAAAAAATCCCAAAATCTTTAATGTTTTCAGCTTTTCTGATCAAAATTTATCCTTTGTCTGTTGTCGTCATCATTGTTGTTGTCTTGCACTTTTTACAATTTAAATGAAAAAAAAAATCAGTTTTACCTAAGAATTCATAGAAAAAAATCTTTGAAAATCTTTTTTCCTAGAATAGCAGTCATGATTAGTCATATTTATGAAAAAGCATCCTCAGATAGTGTATATATATATATACAGTATAGATTCAAGTTTGTTCAAATCTTAACCTCCGGGAATAGGTTAGAACTACAGTGGGTGATCAAATTTAACATGGGAATATATGGGAAAAAGAATTTCTGCTGAGCAAGAGGGGCCACAGTTACTCAGGTGAGCAATGTGGCCATTGGCCTCTTGTTCTTTATACATGTATTATCACTCAAAAAGTTTTTGTTTCATAATTGTAAACAGTCCTATAGAGAAACAACAAAGAAATATTTCATTTTTATTTCATTTTATGTGTAGATCTACACTAGAAATCAGAAAATAAGTATTTAAAAATAAATTTAACTATGTCAGTTAATACTCTCAACATTTTTTTTAACTGTCTTACAAATTAAAAAAAAAAAAAACAATATTGCTTGATCATTGTAAACTCAAAAAGATGCTTTTGATGGTTCGATTAAAATCAAAACCTATAAGCTTACATTGTAGAATTCCTGCAGATGACCATTTTATAAGATACCATACCATTTCATGGCAAATAGACACTGGAATGACTCTTTGAATAAGACAACAGATTATCACTCTTAGAATTAAAATCACTTATTATTGGAGAAAACAGTTTTTGAAGTTTGCAGTATAATCCCCATAACTAGTTCATAAAATTTACGATTAGGCTTCATCAAATCTAGACAAATTTCATAGTGATCACAGCCCGGGAGGATATGAAGAGCCACGTCGACATATAAATACCGCAATACATCAGCAAACTTGTTAGTGGAAGAAGTGGGCACAACATAGTCATTTGTTCCATGAAGTAGCACAATCTTTGGTAACCTAGAGAGTAATAGCAATGGATCACAATATTAAAACCATCAACATGTACTTGTGAATAAAAAAATAAATGTTTACATGTATGACTGAAAGGGCTTACATGTACAGTAAAACTCGTTTAGTATGAACACGGACAAAGTGAATTCACAGATATAGCGAATTTTTCTTGGATCCCCAGCTGTGTAAATTTAACGAATTTCTTATTACGGATATAACGAATTATGGATATAGCCAAGAAATTTCACAGGTTCCAGTGACTTTGTTATAACCAAGTTTTACTGTATTATCAATAATAGGGTATCTCAAATATTACCCGGTAATACAAATAAGACAAATTGTGACCAATTTCTCAACAAATCAGATTTGAACAGTAAAATATGCTTATAGTGAAGTGCAGGGGATGAACAATTTTGATTCATTATAAACCTAATTCATTATATCTGTCAAATTCATATGTTTTAAAACAACTTGGAACAAGAAATGATTAAGAAACATATATGTCCCTTAGGTGGAAATTTTAAAAAGGGAACAACTTTAAATTTAGAACATGTGATATGATAGTGAAAACAATTGGTCATCTTCTAGCTAGGCAGGGGCAAACATAATACCAAGTTTGATATCTATCAGACTTCAATAGCATTAAGGGTAAAATACTTTCTGGAGGGTACCAAGCAAATAGTTCTTAAGAAACTGAGATGACAATATCTTTCTATATGTAGTGTCTATGTTGTTTGACTCTTGACCTTTTAGTGACCTCAAAATCAACAGGGATCATCTTTACTTAAGGGAGAACCAGTGTATCAAGTCTGAAGTCTGTCAAGCGAGGCTTTCTCAAGATATTGGGCAGTCAATATCTTCCTTTATTATACCTTTAAAAATTAGTTTCTATATAAATCTATATTAAAAAAAAGTCTAACATGCCTAATGTTTTACTGAACGGTCATAAAAAAATCGATGTTTGTCTACAGAGTGAGATATTGGACCTGTGGATGAGAAATTGGACCACTTTTCACACTGTGGGCGGGATCAGCTAAATCTTATTTGCATTCATTGGTATGGAAGCTAACAAAAGAAACATGTATAACAAAAAAAATAATGAATAAATAAAAGGTATAAAAAAACATTTATTGACTATCGGCTTCAGGCAAACAGTTTGGTTCTTGGGTCAGACAAAACGCATGTTGCCCGCGAACTCAGTCAATAAATTTTTAATGTTCAGTTTGTGACCTGAAAATCAATAGAGGTCATTTACTCCTTAACGGGAATTAATGTACCAAATTTGATGTCTGCCAAGCAAAGTGTTATCAAAATATTGAGCAGGCAATATCTTCCTATGTGTAGAATAGTTTGACCCTTGATCTCATGACCTAAAATTTACAGTGGTAAACTACTGTACTCCTTAGAGGAAACCAGTGTACCAAATTTGAAGTCTGTCAATCAGTTTGACCCTTGACCTTGTGACCTCAAAATCAATAGGAGTCATTTACTCCTTAGGAAGAATCAAAATACCAAGTTTGATATCTGTCAAGCAAATGGTTCTCAAGATATTGAACATACAAGATTTTCCTATTTCTAGATTAGTGTGAACCTTGACCTTTGACCTTGTGACCTGAAAATCAATAGGGGTCATCTACTCTTCAGGGAGTACCAGTGTACCAAGTTTAATGTCTGTCAAGCAATGGGTTCTCAAGATACTTGGTCTACAGACATTTCAATTGAATGATCTACAGATGAAAAGCAATATACCCCCTTTTTCAAGGGGGGACATAATAATTTCACTTCACTATAAGCATGAACTCATTATAAGCATTTTCACTGTAACCACGTTTTACTGTATATGAAAACAAAGAAACTTCATAAAACATGTACATACCTAACTCCTCTAGAAAGTGAGTGGCATAATTGAGTGGGTGAAAACCTATCAAAATGACTATTTCCATACATAACCCTTGCCATACAGGACACATCCTCAACTCCACGAGAAGTTTCATGTTCATAGTGATCTCCTATATGATACACCCCAGCTAAACCTTCAGAAAAAAATAACAAAGCTTGGTTAGAAATACATGTAATTTACATATACATATGCAATTTAAAAAGACATCAAATGGAATCTAACATTTATTTTTCAAATAGAATCTAACAGAGATTAACAAGTAAAAACATTCTGCAGGATGTCTCATAAAATAAGAACTCTACACAAAGACAAACTCTAGACATATTCTAGAACAACTTTGATTTACCTATGATAGCTTTAACTGACTTTCCAATTTCTATCAGTGATCTTTGCCGATCGCTAGACCTCACAGTTATTACAGAGTCCTTATCACTTCCAGCATCTTCCTCCTCCGAATCCTCGTGTTTCCTATCAGTGTCCTCCTCAGTCTCCTCCTTGGACTCCTTACTCTCAAGTTGTTCCACTCCTTGCTTGTCACTTTCACTTGCATCCACCTCTGGTTTTTCACTCTCTGTTTCTACCTCAGGTTGAACATAACCTGCAGCTACAGATTCCTCCATAGCACCTGTTTCAGGTTCACTTAACACTTCAAAAGTACTACTAGTGTTACTGGCCTCTAAACCATCCTTCTTATCCCCATTTTCATTTAGCACACAGAACGAGCCTGAAGACCCTGAGCTTCCATCCAGACCATTCTGTCCATTTGTGTCCTCTTTTCTATAGTGAGACTCCTCAAAATGAATCTGTGGGACCACTGGTTCATGAGGAGGCATGCTCTCTGCATTCAGAATTTCATCATGCAGCAATTCTAGGATTGCCATTATACAAAGGTGGGCACCTGAGGAGTGACCAATCATCATCACCTGGTTCTGTAGTTGAAGGGCATTTTACTTTAATACTTTTTTAATCAAAAATAAATTTCAAAAGTAAACAACATGGAGTAAAATGAATTTTTCACCTTGTTGCCTCCATAGTCCCCAACATTTTCACTGATCCAGCTTAAACAGTCTACCACATCCTGAATCATGTCATCCACATAACCCTAAAACATTTTATTTTACATAGGAATCCTTTAAGTGAATGAAAATATTACACATTCTAAAAGTGCATTTTTCTAAATAGTCTACAATTCTTTTTATTAATCTTTAGTGATTTTGATCTTATGATAAAGAATCAAAAAGTTTCCAAGTAAGAGTGTTCTCTGTAAATGTTCACTTATTAAGAGGTGTCAAAAAATGATTGAAAGTACAGTTGAATCTTGTTATCTTGGTCACCAATATGATATCTTTAATACCAGAGATATATACTGTAGATTCCTAAATATATGCGAGGAATAAATTATCGCGTAATTACGCGAGAAGCACCGCTCGCAAAATAAAATTCCTCGCTTTTATTTTCATGGTGCTTTAATGTATGTAAAATCTCTAGATAAATCATCCCTTCGCGAATTATTGTTCTCGCGATTTGACGCCCTTGGGCCATTTCGCGATAATAAGTACTCGCGTAAAATAAGGAATCTACAGTAATGAGGTTTAACTGTATTTTTATAATAATGACAATATGATAATTATTACCTTAGGATAAGCAGAATAGTTGGGACAGCAAACCACTGCTTGAAGTTTATTGGCCAGCTCTGAACACAGAAGCCCATACATTGCTTTATTCTTCATGGACCAAGCTCCACCGTATATAAACACTACAACAGGCAGACTTGTCTGCCCTTTGTTTGATGATGGGAAGTACAAATCCAAAGTCTCCTCATTCCTCCCATATGATAGATTCTGAAAATAACATTTTTCTTATCCTGCAGAATCCAGTTACTGTAATTCACTTTTTATTCGCAAGAACTTTATTTTCGCATAATTATTCGAGACCATCTGCTCGTGAAAAGGACTATATTCTGTAGTGGCCAGTATCTGCCCCCAAAATAAAACTTTGATGGAGAAATCTTTAATTATGCTCTAAACCAGGTGGATATTTGCAGACTTCAAAGCATTAAATATTTTTATCAACTATGACATCATTAGTTAGATATGACGTCAATAAAATGACGTAAATTCCAAATTGCAATGATTTTGAGAGAAAATAGCGTATTTTACGTCGGTTTTTTGATTGGAAATTATCGAGCGCAGGTCTGCTCAGACTAGATCTTTTGATATAATGTGTAGATTGATAATATCAATGAAATATGTGAATAATGTACCTGAGCAAGCTTGCGCTCTATAAATACTATAGCCAAAATTGAACAAACTCTGTGCATTTTGGCCTCTATTTTAAAAATAACGGAAATCCAAATAGTTTGTGACGTCACAGAGACAAGAAAAGCCAACTAATTTTTCCAATTTCATAATATATTGTCTTAATTTGGATTATTTTATACAATATATGCACTTTTTCTCATTTCAAGAGATTTTGAAAATTTGACTATTATGGGGGCAGGAATACGCCCTTACCGTATATAGTTCTTTCAATCTTAAGTATATTAATTATTAAGGATTATGTTCAACAAAAGCTAGGATTTGTGAAAATTTTGTCTCACTTATAAATACCATATGACTTTCATGCAAAAATAAGGTGTCGTAAAAATTTGGTGATCTACAGTAAGTATCTACTCTCTCATCATAAATCGACCATCAGACATATTACATGTCACAAAAAATTGCTAACCATCATTATAAGAACACTGTCTTACCTTCAGAACTTGAGATGGCTTTGCAGAGCTATAAAACATTTTCCATTGTATACACAAAGGTATATATCTTATTTTAGTGTGCATCATCTGCAGCAGTGTGTAACTGAATGCCATCACTTTAAATGGGTTCAGAGTTCTTCTGACTCTAGATTTTTTACTTTCACTCCAGCCATAGAGGACACTACTGACTGATGTAAAGATGTAAGGTACTGCAATAGAAGTCCCCGCCAGAATCAGAAAGCTTTTCAATATATTCTTCAACATGTCTCCTGTGAATAAAGACATAGATATATTCAATTTTTCTTTGACATTTACTGCACAAAGTAATCTGATGTCATTTTTCATTCTAAATGAGTTTTACTGTATGTTGATTGATTAATTCACTTCCTGAGAAAGAATATAGGTGTTGGATCAGAATGGAGATGCCATCAAAATAGGCCTAAAGAAAGAAAAGGGACATGAGTGCTTATAAACTTATTTTTAGAGTCTGATCAAGTCTTCTCAGAATTTATTTTTTTTTATTTTCACATGCAGGTTAGACTTTCTTCGTATCATCAACAAAACATCATGAAAAAACTACATTGTAACTCGAAGCAACTGTTTAAAGTCTTCATCACTGTTGCAGTATTACTCTCATATATGGTTAGGACCCTGGATATCAGCTTGGGTAGCTCAGTCAGTAGAGCACTAATAATGCAGGGGTCCCAGGTTCAATTCCTGGTCCAGCCATACATTTATCCTTTCCTGTTACAACATTACAAAATTATGTTTGTTCTAAAATCAAACTAAATAAATACATAAATGAACTTCGGTATCTCAAACACAGATATCTCAAATATACCATGAATATGTCGAAGTGATTCTGAAGTCCCAACTGCTTATTCCTTCAGTATTTTACCCTGGATATCTCGAATCTTCAGTTATCTTTAAGTATTTTCTTGGTCCCTTTAAGTTTGAGATAACGAGGTTTGACTGTATCAAACTTTGCACAAAAAGACTAAAATTTTTTTATACACTAACCAAACTTTGTACTATAAGAACAAACTTTACAATGAGATCAAACTTTGTAAAATGAGATTTAAACTTTAAGATCAATGTTTGTAAACCAATCCAACTTTGTACAGTGAGACCTGGTTTTATGCACCGAGCTAAAACTTGTAGAATGATACCAAACCTTTTTTCCCCACTTGGATTAACCTCTGTACAGTAAGACAATTTGGTGTAGGTAGATGTCAAAGTATCATGGAATGTTTACATTGTAAATGTTATGAAATGTCTAGTCTATGGTACTTACATGTATTTTTAACAAATCATATGATAAACCTGTTAACGATGGCCTTGTCGACATTAGAGGAACTGATAACTTTGCATCAGTTGTTACTTTAAACAAATTAACTTTAAAATTATGCAAAATACTCTGTCATCTCAGGCCAGGCTCAGGGTCATCCACACATGCAATGTAACTAAATTAGACACGTTGCGCGTCACGTCTTTCGTGTAACCTTTTTACCTTATGTAATCCTGGTACGATTTATCCAAACCCGATTTCCCTAAAAATGTCAAAACAATCAGGATGGACAGATTAAGCATAATTTCGAGCGCTTTATTCCTAACAGCGGATGTATTTGCTGTTGCAAGTCTGGCTATGCCAAGATGGATCGTTTCTGACATAGGAGGTATGTTAATTGATCACGAAAATAAGAGTTTTTATCAATGCTCTATGTAGACAAACTCGTTAAGTTGTTCATTATGAGGAAAAAAGTTGGTTCACCGCAGGGTCTCGTAATATTTTTGCGAGTACAAAATTTTTTTTTTTTAAACTTTTGTTCTCAGTAGTCTTTCTGACAGCACAGGCACTTCAAATAAAACTCTTCTTTGATAATGATATCTGCTTATCACGGTGCATCAATTTACCCAAAAGAACCCCAAAAGACCGAAAAGGAAACCAAGAAGACCCAAAAAGAACTCAAAGGGAACTAAATAAACATTAAAATGATAACTAGTGTGATTTAATAGGATAATATATATTTTTAATGCAACATTGATATTTTCCTTTATGCCTAAATAATCTATTTCATAATTATTATTTATACAATTGTGGTATATCACATTAAGCCAATCAAAATCAGTTATACACAGCTTATCAATAAATGAATAATCCATCCATGCCATATTTTAATTATGCATTTTAGACAACTGTAAACTTCGATTATGCAAAACCCATATCAAACATGGAGTTTCAGACGAATAGGTGTGTCCTTCATTTTGGTGATGAAATCTTTGACCAGTAAAAAAAAAAGAAAAAGTCATTCAACAATCCTACATTATGAGCATTTACTAAATACTACTATGTAAATTACTACAGTATTTCGACCAAAGATAGGGATAGGGAAGAGGGGATACAATTGGAATTTATCATTCAGCTTAGCATCAAGACCTTTGAACATTTGTAATTTATCCAGCTTTCTAGCAATAGTGTCAGTGTGAAATTTTTACTCTAAAAGATAGTTTTTCTTCAAACAAATGAATGTTTCATCAAATTGAGAAATATTTGTTAATCAAACTTTGAAATAATACTGATAATTGCAAATCAAAGTCGATAATTGAAAAAAATTGGTATGTTTTTAAACGTGGCAACTCCACAGTAGGCATATTTAGCAACCGTTATCATTTCATGAATTTTATTGAATTCGGATCTTTTCCTGACTGTGATGCATTTTACACTTACCAAGAAATGAAAATTCTGGGGTTGAAAGTGGGTTTTTTTTCTTCAGTCAACTATAGATAGTAACATATATGTGACCATCTATGATCTTGTTAAAATTTCTGTCATTTTTTTTTTAGGTCGAACATACATTGGATTGCTACAGTCATGTCTAGAGATTTACAGTGGTCAGCAAAGTGAAATGTGCTTCACTCCAGTTCCACAGAGAACAGAATGGCTTTTGACATTTGTTTGTATTATTTTGGGCATTCTTAGTGTCACCTCCACAATAGGTCTGTTGATCCTTTCCCATTGGAGGTATCGAGTCATGAAACATGCCAGGTGGCTCGGATTTGTGGCAAGCAAGTATCATTTACTTTGTGAACATTGAAAATTTTTCTGTTTGTTAGCTCACCTGAGCTGAAAGCTCAAGTGAGCTTTTCTGATCACACTTTGTATGTCTGTCTGTCCGTCTGTAAATTTTTCACATTTTCCACTTCTTCTCCAGAACCTCTGGGCCAATTTCAACCAAACTTGCCACAAAGTATCCTTGGATAAAAGGGATTCAAGTTTATTCAAATGAAGGGCCACACCATCTTTCAAGGGGAGATAATGAAGAATTAGTGAAAATTTGGTAGTACATGTATCTTAAAAAAAAATTCTTCTCAAGAACCACTGGGCCAAAAATATTGAAAGAAACTGGGGGGATAAGCCGAGCAATATGCCTACATAACGATCGATAAAAAATCAATAAATTCATTTTACAAAAATTTCACTTTTTGTTGAATTAATGTAATGCTTATTACCATTTGCATACAAATTTGACAAAACCTGAATACTGTAACAGCGAAAATGATTCTGATTAACACAAAAAAATGGCATCATGCTCAATTTTCACAAAAACTGACATAAATTGGATGATATTACTACATTTTTTAAATAGAGTGGGTCATCGTACCATTTTTTTGAGAACGATTAATGAAAGGCAATGGAAAGATGTTGCTTTTTACACTTGCAAATATTTGGTACGAAGACCCACTCTACATAAAAAATTAAGTTAACTTACTTAAATTTTCACCGTGGTCTTAAAAAATTCTAAGTCCAAATACGCTTGCTAAATATAGACAACTGTATGCTATTTAAATGGGTATGTATGTGTGACTCCGTGGTACAGTGGTTAGCGAGGAGCTCTTTAAAGGGACGTTTATTGAGGAAAGTGTTCGATTTTTTGATTTTGTTTTTGTTTTGTTTTTTTTTTTTTTTGTTTTCTTTGGTTTTAATTTTGTTTTACTTTATAAAAAATGTCTATAGGAATAACATATTTTTCACTGGAAATAAAATATATACATGTAGTAATGAACTTATTTACAGTAAATTATTTAAAATGCCGGATAAAAATTATAATAGATATTTGAATACTTTTATTCCCGTTTTTATTTATTTTAAATAAAAGCGCTTCTAGATCACCATTATCATTACATAAGATGTTAACATTTTTATAATATCTCCACAATAAGTGTAAACACTCAATATGCAGATTAATTAATAGAAGTCCTTACCCATGTTAGACATTTGTGACAGTAAATGAAAGTCAACTGTTTAGCTTGTTTAGAATATAAATATCATTTTGAAAACTACGGTAAACATTAAAATGCTTAAGTAAACTCGAACAATTGAGAGATTTTTTCCAATAAATGTTCTTGCATAGCCGAAAAATGGGCATGGGCACATGGCTGGTCTTATCCCCCCAGATTCTTTATGTGAAATCTTCTTTACATGTGTAGATTCAAATTTGTTCAAATCACGACCCCAGGGGATAGAGTTTTACACAGGAATATATAGGGAAAAATCTTCAAAAATCTTCTAAAGAACGGCAAGGCCTTGATTTGTCATACTAATATGGAAACCTCCTCAGATATTGTAGATTCAAGTTTGTTCAAATCATGACACCTGGGGGTAGGGTGGGGGATCAAAGTTAACATAGGAGTATATATAGAATAAATCTGCTAATGAAGAACAGCAGGACCATATTGAGTCAGGTGAGCATTGTGGCCCATGGGCCTCTTTGGAATACAATCTGATTAAAATTAGATCCTTTGAGCCGCTCACATAGATCGCTTCACAAGGATCTGAAGAAACCCCATTCAATTGTCATATATTTTTTTTATTTTTAAGTAATCCTGTTTTGCCTGGCTGCAGTCATTTTCCCTATTGGTTTCAACATGGAGCAGATAGGAGGGGAACCATACCAGCTTCCAAACAATTACCAAGTGGGCATTTCATATATCTTCTTTGTCCTAGCTCTGTGGATAACAGTTGTTTCAGAACTGTTTGCAAGCAAAGTCTGTTTGCCACATTTTTAATGCTTTTTTGACAGAATTTGATAAGAACAAAATGTGCCAATACAATGGCATTGAAAATTATCAGAATTTTAGGAGATTAAATCTGGTAATTTCTAGATATCAATGATATTTAATGACTGGCTAGTAACATCTTTATTATTAGTAATAATCCGTTGTACATAATTGTTATGTCTCATTTGTTATACCTACTGTTGTCCTTTGAAAATTGTACAATTGAAGCATGCTGTTAGAGTGTATTGTTGATAATTGATTATAAATGTCTAGGTTAATGCTTATAAAGTACATTGCTCTATAAATATATGTTTGTTTATATTTGAAGACAGTATATTGTAAATTTAATAAAGAAACATTTTTTTAAGATGTTCAAGAAGCAATTTGCAGGAAACTTCATTGACTGACTTAACATTAATGTGTTTACCTTTGTTGTTTTACATTTGTTGATTTTTATTATTGTACACAATGCTGTACTTATTCTGTATAGAAATGTGTTATATATTAAATACATTGTATATATCCTACTCATTGAATTTTCAACCTAGATTCATTTATAGTGCCATTCATTGAGGTCAGGGTGTAAAGATTAAGATACCTGTATCCTTAGAAGGCATGTGACAGCAAATGCATGCATATTTCACCCAAATATTGTTGTTTATTACATCCTGAATCATCTATCTGTTGCGGTCAGACCGGTTCAATTACCGGTGGCTATATAGCTCATCAGATAGAGCACCTGACTGTAGATTCAGGGGGCATGGGTTCGAATCCTAGTCTGGTCCATCGCATTTTTCCCCTTTCTGGTTACATTTGGTGCCATGCCGTTCTATGGAAGTGACAGGCGAAAGACCTACCAGGGAAGCGCTTGGGTAGGTGTCTTGGGGGGCGAAGACCTTTAAGAAGAGAGAAATGTGGTGGTCATACGGGTTAGATCACCGGTGGCCAGATAGCTCAGCACCTAACTGGAGATTCGGGGGTCTGGTTTGAGTCACAGTCTGCTCTGTCACATTTTCCTCCTTTCCAAATACATATCTAAGAGACAAGGCAAGTTTCCATTTCGGTTAGTAGTAAGACCTCTTGTGATGGTACATATTGTCATTCTTTACATATTGTTGTCAGTGACAATATGTACCTACCCTCACTGCACATACTGTCTTCAATCGGTACATATGGTCGCCAGCTTAAGTTTCACATGTACATATTGTAGCTGGCGACATTATGTGCCTACCCTCACTGCACTTATTGTTGCCCCACAGATATTGCTGCTTGAATTTCTTTTGGTAGTTTTGTGAAAGTAATTGGTATGTTAATCACATTGATGTCTCTCATATGCTTTTTCATGCAGCACCATTGTGATGGTACATATTGTCATCCTCTTTATATCGTCTCCGGCGACAATATATATTGTACCTACCCTAACTGCCCATATTGTTGTCCATCAGTAAATGTTGCGTAACAATACCTGACAATCCTTTCATAATCTATAAATGTGACTTATCATTGCTTTGCTGTTCTTCTTCAGATTTTTCCAATATATTCCTATGGAAAACTTTGATCGCCTATTGTGACTGTTGCTGTTGTTGAGAATAAGATTTTCTGTCTATATTCCTATGTAAAACTTTGATCATCCATTGTGGCCCCACCCTACCTCTAGGAGTCATGATTTGAACAAAGTTGAATCTACACTATGAAATTAAACTTTCACACGAGTATCAACTCTTCTGGCCCTGTTACTCAAGATTTTTTCTTATATATTCCTTTGTAAAACTTGGATCACCTATTGAAGCTCCACCCTTCCCCGGAGTCATGATTTTGACAAAATTGAACCTTAACTTTATAAGACAGCTTTCACTTTAGTTTAACTTTTCTGGCACAGTGGTTCTTGAGAAGATTTTTAAAAGATGTCACTAAATTTCCATTATCTCCCTTGAAAGAGGGCATGACCCTTCAAACTTGAATTCCCTTTATCCAAGGATGCTTTGTGGCAAGTTTGGTTGAAATTGGCCCAGCAGTTCTTGAGAAAAAGTGGAAAATGAGAAAAAGTTTACTGATGAGCGACAATGTGCCGATGGATGATGACAATATGTGCATTGAGGGTAGGTACATATTGTTGCCAATGTATATGTTCTGGTGATAGGGTAAGGGTCTATTTATCATATAGTAAACAATGCTTTAAATAATTCTTTGAAAATCTCTACCACTGAGTATTCAGAAAATAAGAGATGGTTATGATGAGCAAGAGTACCTCTTCCAAATTTGTAAAATTCATGGACCCTTGGTCAGGTTTCAGGTGCCAAGGCAGGGATATATTGATCATTTAATGAAAATGCATTATTTTATGAAAATCTTCTCTGTTCTTGAGTATTTAGCTGACAATCTATGTGTAAAGTTATGATGAGCAAGAGTGCTCCTTCCATAATTGTGAAATTCATGGCCCCTGGGTCAGGTTTTAGGGCAGGGCTTCATTATGATCATGTATGGAAATTTTTACTTTGTTATGAGAGAAGTTATTTCCCTTTGTGTATTCTCTAATGATATATTCAATCAATGTAATTATATAAGAAGTAAATTGATGAAAAAAATATGCACACATTTTGAAGGTATAGTACAAAAAGTACTTTTAAAGTTTCTAACAGTCAGGTGGACTTGCAACTGGAAGTTGTGTGAGCTAGCTCACAAAATAATACCCCATCAATTTTTTTTAAGTGCCCATTTGCAATTTCTTTTAAATGTGACCTTGAATTTGCAAGAATGACCTTGATCAAAAGAAAATGACACATCCTCTTGTCACAAGTAATCTTTGAGTGAAATAGACATCCAGTGTTTCTCTGTTAGAAAATTAGAGACCTGACATGAATTTTACACTTTTTCTGCCCATATAAACCTTGAACTTGCCACAATGACCTGGGTAAAGGTTATGAAAAAAAATACATGAATAAAAATGACACAAAAATAATTCGGATTTCACAAGTTTGGTAATAGTGATTGAGTATTGTCAGCACTGGTACATATAGGCAAGAAAATAGATCTACTTTCTGGGTAGTTACTGTTTACCAGATTAACTATTCTGCTGAACCTTGGTTGTCCTATTTCTCTTCTTTTCAGCCAATCTCTTCATCCATCAGATTAATTTGATTTTTTATTTAATAATTATTAAATTGCAATTCCATGTATCCTTTACAAGGTTGTATTATACTCAGATGACTGTTAAGGTACTAGGGCCTCTTGTTTCTTCTTAAAATAAGGCATGACCATTCACTTCTTCAAACATGAATTCTCTTCACTACTTTGTGCCAAGTTTGGTTAAAATTGGCTAAGTTGTTCTAAATCAGAGGTTCTGGTAAAGAATTCAGTATTATGATAAGTCAACAGGCAGACATACATGTACAACCTTTGATCAGAAGAGCTCATTTGAGCTTTTGGCTTAGCAGGTGAAACCCAAAATTAAAAAAAAAAACAGAATTAAAAAAAAAATATTTGAACAAATTTAACTATAAATAGACATGTTACAAATCATATCTGATCAATTCATTGTTGGATTCTGAAGACAGAATCATTTCCATACATGTGGATTATCACAAACAAATAAAAATGTCAGCTGCTAAAACATTTCATGAATAATCAGTGTCCAATGTTAAAAACTCAGATCACAGAAAACTTTACTGGCTGGCCCTCAATTCTCCCATCCTGTTCAGGGCACTTCCTGCTACAAACCACTCAATCTGTCCTTCATTCATAGAGTGATTCAATTCAATCATCTCTGAGGAGCCATCGGCATGAGTAATTTTGCACTGAACCGGCTACAATATAATGAGAAAGACTGCATGTACATTGTATTATGGACAGGTGTACCAGTAGTTAATTCTCACCTCCATGATGTTTTGCCTACCAAACATCAGTTGTATGAATAATAAGGTACAAGAACATGTACATTTGAATATTTTACAATAATAAATTTGTTGCAGCCTAATGATTAAAGTCATTCATCACTCACCTTTCCTGGTTTCAAGTCTTTCAATCCCAACAGTGAGATACGATCTGTAGGCTGGATCTTGTCATAGTCGGCTGGATTGGCAAATGTAAGGGGTAGCATGCCTTGTTTCTTTAGATTTGTTTCTGCAACAAATAAAATGTAGGTTAGAAATCAAGGAAATATCCATACATCATTACAACTGATATATATTAGGCAATTATCAGTTTAGATAAATTTTCTTTTAATTACTTCAGCAAAACATTGGTTGGATTTGCAAAGTTATGCCCCTTTTCTATTGTAATTCCCATAGCTCATTAAAATCATGCTTCCCGCTCATTAGATTTTTTACTGCAGATATTTTGAACGTTAAATTTAATTTATGACAAAATAATTTATGTAACAATTAGTTTGACGTTGGGTCAACATTTCACTAAATTGACTGGACTATGTGTAATTCTCTTGATTCATTTTATAATAATATACCATGGATTCTGGCAAAACTTTTGACAATAATGGCCCTTCCTCCTAAATGCCTGGGTTCCAGAGCAGCATGCTCCCTGCTGCTTCCCTCTCCATAGTTCTCATCACCCACCACACACCATGGAACATTGTTAGCCTAAGTAATGTTAATATACATGTACATATATGGAGTAGAAAATGTGTGATTATAGAGCAAAACAAAGCAAAAACAAAGTGAAGAAAAAAAACCCCTACTTTGTAATGTCTGGCAACTTCTGGTACTGTTCCATACTGACCAGTTAACTGATTCTTTACATTATTAGCTTCACCATTCTCAATATTTGTAGCTCTAGATAAAAAACAAATGTAAATGCATATGTTCACTTTCCAAATGAAAATAATACATCACTTATGATTTTAAACACCAACTTGAGAATTAAAAAAAAATATTTTTTTAAAGTCTTTCAAAGACACTCTTGTTGTGTTTAGATGTCCATGTCTTCATCCTTTTCAATTTCTAAACTCTGACATCATCAGACTTACCCAATCAGGAGATTGTTTGAAATGTTGTCAAGATGGCCTCTGAACTTCAGCCAGTAACCAGCCATACTGATATGATCTGTTGTGCATTTTCCTTTAACCTGCAAAGACAGTTTAAAATTGTAAGATAAGTTTCATTACACTCCACAAATATAAATCAATGGTTAAGCAATTATTTCTCATCTAAACATTCATTTTTAATCTACTTTTTCCCTCTTCATGTCATATTTGTTTAATTTACAAATTATTCACCTTTATAAGTACTGGCATGTTTTCTATGTCTTTCCCGTCCCATTTAGAGAAGGGAGTAAGAAGCTGAAGCCTTGTGCTCTTAGGGTCCACGTTGACATTCACACTGGAGCTATCAGAAGGAGGGGCTTGGTACGTGTCCTGACCAGGATCAAATCCTTTGGCAGGCAACTCATCACCATAAGGAGTTTCAAGTTTAAATTTTGAACCTGTATAATATTTATAGCGACTTCAAAAAGATTTTTTTTTTTCATACCAGTAATTTTTTTTTTCACAATTTACTGGTTTATAGAAATTACATCACTGTTAAAAAAAAAATCTCAATGAATATAAGCTATTGAGAAGGAATTATGCTGTACTCTATTTTACATGTATCTGAAAATTTTACTTAGAAGTCACTCAGTAGTCACCCATCTATTTATAAAATCATAAATCGGTAGTATCCCTTCAAGCACTAAAAAAATTTGAATACAGTTTGTGAAATATAATACAAATATTAAAAGAAAAAAAAAATCTTCTTAAAACATAAGAATAGAAAATTTCTTACCATCAGCTGCTGTGAGGCTGTCTGTTTCTGGGTTAAAGTTAAGAGTTCCTGCAATAGACAGAGCAGTCACTAATTCAGGGGAGGTAACAAATGCATGAGTAGCTGGGTTGGCATCATTGCGACCTGTGAAGTTCCTGTTATATGAGGTAACAATAGTGTTTTTCTCTCCTTTTTTCACATCTTGTCTGTCCCACTGGCCAATGCATGGACCACAAGCATTAGCTAATACAACCCCTCCTATCTGTCTAAGTGTTTCTGCCTACAAAAATATGATTCCATGCAAATAAAAATTGCTGATCTTTGTAATGAAATCTGTACATTAAACATAAATACATCAGAGGTTTCCTTTGTTTACCTGTCCATCTCTTTCAATTGTGGCCCTGATTTGTTCTGAGCCTGGTGTGATTGTATATGAGCTCTTAGATTTGACTCCTTTGTTGAGTGCCTGACGAGCAATGCTGGCAGATCGACTCATGTCTTCATAACTACTGTTGGTGCAGCTTCCAATCAATCCTATTTGGAAAACATGAAAATTCTTTGTGAAACTTCTTATTTTGATTCATAAAAACAAAAACAAATACATTAAAAATATTCTTTATAATTCTGCAAGTTAACATATAATTTCAATGGAATCCAAATAAAAAAATGAAAATTACAGTCAATAACTTGACAAAAGATATACATGTACATGTATGTATAATTTTTTTCATATCAACCTCAGTATAATTTTTCTTACCAACTTTAATATCCAAGGGCCATTCATTTTCCTTAGCAATCTGGCCAAGTTTTGAAATAGGATGAGCCAAGTCAGGGGTGAAAGGTCCATTTACATGTGGCTCTAACTACAATATTGTACATGTATATATTAATTATAGGATGTAGAACAATTGATGAATATTTGGTATTAACATTTTTGAGATGAAAGTACAGTACAGTACAATATATACTGGTATGCAAAATGGTAAAAATAAAAACTTTACCTTGTTCAGGTCAATTTCAATTAGCTGGTCATAAAAGCAATCTTTATCTGGTGACAAAAAGCCTTTGTAGCTATTTGCCAAGTCTGCTAACTCTGTAAAATCAAATTCGAAATTTTAATTTTTTTTCTGATTTGTACAACATTGCAGCAAGTTCAGTCTCTTGACACTGTTGGTATGTAATTTGTCCAGCTTTGCATTTCCAAATAAGCAACATACAGAGAGATAATACATGAGATAAAGATTTATTCTAAATCTTTCATAGGGAAGCCAAAAAAAGTTATGAGCTGTTTTCAGAATGTTTAAACTTCAAAAATTAACAAAGATCTTAACAAGTTCTTCAACATCCCATTCTGGATCCATTATTGAAATTTAATCAAAAGTATACTAGTTAAAACACAAAATATCATCCCAATATATAAAACGTAACATAATTATCAAAAATATTTGGAAGTCTACATTAGAACAATTTTACTCTTCCAGTGCTCTGCTAGTAATAAATCTGGTATCTTGGTCTTCGAAATTCTATTCACTTTGTACATCTAAACAACTAGATCACAGTGTCATATGTACTTGTTTATCTATCTAGATTCAGGTTATTTCACAAAAAATATCATTCTTGTTCATTAGCATCAAAAGCCAGCTATGTATATGTTTAATGCCTATTTCTCTGAATTACCTCTCCTATTGGTGGCCCTCAAGTAGTCCTCCATTCTACCATTGTATGGGAAGCAGGAAGTAGTGGCTCCTATTTCAGCTCCCATATTACAAATTGTTCCCATTCCTAAGTTAAAAATCAAAAAAAAGGTATTCTTATAATAAAATTTCCCATCTGTGTGAATCAGGAATGGGAATAACAATTTTGTAAAAAGGCTTTTTCATTGTCATTCAAACTTGAAATTTCCAAAATAGGTTTTAACATATTCAAATTGTTCAGAAAATCTTAAATATACAATAATGTCTCATGTGAACAAGATAATTATGTCGTGAAAATTACATAATATCTCGTGCGAACATGTACGTGTATGTTTCACCTGTGCAAGAGATGGAATCGACCCCAGGGCCATGATATTCCACTATAGCTCCAGTTCCTCCTTTCACCGTCAATATTCCTGCCACCTTCAAGATGACATCCTTTGGAGAGGTCCATCCACTAAGCTTACCTGTCAGTTTTACACCAATGACCTAAAACATATTGGGGAGGACACTTGTGTATTTTGAAAATGCCATTATTTACCCATGATAACAAAGGAATATGGTAGCATGATACAGTCTGGATTGTTTATGGTAGGGAAAAGCCTCAATTACATATTGTACATTTTGAAATGCTGAAAAATGACAAACCTTTGGACATTTTAGTTCCCATGGTAATCCAGCCATGACATCTACGGCATCAGCACCACCCACTCCAATACAGAGACCCCCAAGGCCACCTAAAAATAAAATGTACTGGTATATATTTTCAATACTATTCACCACTCTGACCTATATTTATTAGGGATGTCAAATCGGTCAATATTTGATAATCGGTTACTCGGACGATTTTCCGATCGAGTACACGGGTACTCGGTAAAATTGTAAAATACAAATGTGTTAATTTTATTGAGACCAGTTAAGCCCTGTTTAACCCCAACGATGATTTTTTAACGTTTTTTATGCCTGTACACAAACATCGAGCAAAGCGAAAATGATTTTTTGCATTAAAATTTATTTTTCAAATAAACACAAAAGACAACAATTATTGCATCATTAATTAGAAATGGTTTATAGTTCTTGTTTAGGAAGATGATTTGATCAACGCAAGAGAAAGACAAGCGCAAGATTTTGTTTTTAACTGAGTACCAGGTGATTGGTCACGGTAATTACTTTATAAACAAATACACAGCCACAGACAATAGCGGGTATTAACAGACCTGTGCGTGATGCTAATTACAAGGTAAACAAGGACAAATCATTTTGAAGTTGCACTTTTTGATAAGTTTTTGATAAAAAAAAAGAAAATACTTTGTTTTTTGAAATATGAAAAAAAATATATATATATCCGAGTAACCGAGTAGCGATTTTAGTATTCGATACTCTGATGTTCGATCGAGCACCTGGTTAACCGGGTACTCGTTGACATCCCTAATATTTATACAATTAAAACCCATCTCCTTTACATTCTGTCTCAGCAACCAAAATTTAGTACTTACCTCCATTTGGTGTGTGACTGTCTGTCCCAATGATAAGAGCTCCAGGGAAAGCATAATTTTCCAAAACAATCTACATGTATGATGAAATTTCAATTTCAGCTTCATTAGTTAGCATGGGAAAACATTAGGGTATAAAAATTCAGCCAACACAATTAATTTGTAAAAGTATATCAACTCTTTTTAACCATAAAAAATATACAATCCAGCATACATTTATGGTATAAATACTACTCTAAGTAAAATCAAATGTTCAACACATTGTGAATAGTCCTGGATGTATAAAATGTTTGTCAGAGGCAGTATACATAGTCTGACTATATCTCTGTCAGTCTATACCTGTAGCCTCTATTTTGATTTTTCTCTAGGTTTGTTTGTGATCTCATCTGGACATCTACAATATATGTAGGATATCACACAAACAAACCACACCCATGTATTACTATGTAATATTAATACATGTACCACCAAGCCATGAAATGAAAAGTCTGACCTGGTGGATGATGCCACTGCCTGGTTTCCAGAATCCTACTCCATATTTAGCTCCTGCTGTGGCCAAGAAATCGTAAACTTCTTTGTTAAGGTCCTGTGGATAACAAAAAGACTCGTGTTACTAATGAATCAGCTACTGTACATGTATATTTTGTTATTATTGTAGGTCATTTCTGACCACTGTACTAGTGAATGAAATACAAAACTATTCTATCTTATGATATTTCTGCTGTTTTTCTTTTCACATTTATGACTTTTATTTATGTTTAACAATTCATCCAAAAACACTCGCAAGAATACTTTACAAACAACATTATTTAAGGAAGTTACTTGGACTGCTGCCTAAATTAAATTACATGGCGATATTGCATGCAAAATCATATTGGAAAAAAAAAAGCTCTACCTTGGCCCGTTTCAAATCTTGCTCGCCTCCAACTTGTGCTTGAATCAAGTGATCACAGTGAATGGTAGAAGGCACTGCAACCTTTGGTAGACCACTGGAGATAAACTGCAACATGGCCATCTACAAGTATAAACCATATAATGGATTTCACACCTTGTTGATAGATCACGAGGACAAAGAGCAAGGTTCACTTAGCGCCTTTTATGGCCCTGTAAATTACTGAAAAATTAAAACTGCATAGTTTTAGTTGACAATATGTTAAATATCACTTGGACCATTAATGACTGCATAGCTACTGAAAATGACATCATGTTCTTGCTAGTCAATGCATTATGACGTCATGCATTGTGTCATTATTCCCATATCCTGAAAATTTCTTCAATAAGGGCCAGTAATCAAAGCTGTTTTTCAATATTCCGTATAGAGCATAACCTCTGATCCAAAATGTGCAATTTTAAAGTGGTAGATCTGTTTCTGATGATAATAAAATTTGTTTTATTTTTTTGGATCAAGGGATGTGCTCATATTTTAATTCTTTGCTAAAGGTACTCAAATTCAAATATTCTGCAAAATTCAACATTGTAATTTCAAAAAGCCTGTTTTTAAATACCTGGACTCTCAGAGGAAATTTTTTTATAGGAAATGAAAGCATAAGTCTCTATTTTATGTCGTGGAATGAGACATAGGGTGTTGGTAATAAAGTGGTAAATGTATATCTACAAGGCCATTCTTTGCATTAAGTGAACCTAGCTCTTATATGCAACTTTTAAAACAATGCAATTACACTCTGAAATTATATACCGGTACTTTTTTCTACATGTTAACTACCTGAGCAGTTGCATCTTGCATAGCAACCCTGTCTGGTCGCAGCTTGAGATAGCTCTCTCCCCTTTGAATATCCTTTAAAAGGAAAAAAAATACATTTGTTAACCTACAGTTTTGTGTATTTGGATCTACTATTTGATAAAATATTCACTTCAAAAGAACCATGAAAGCAAATGTACATGAAGATTATTCAATTTTCTATTAATTCTTATACATAAGAAAATTACCTGAGTTTTAGGGTCATCTATGTGTCCATATAAAATTTTTTCTGACAGAGTCAGGGGTCGATTCAATCTACAAATAAAAAGTTCATTATTACTTTTTGGTAAACACCTTTATTTTTTCTCCTATATAATCCATTACAATTAAAAATCAACACTTTGACTGTTAAATTAAAAAAAACGTCAAATTTCTTTCACTCCTGGTCTCTTGACCAGTACCCAGTCAACAATACTTGATCTGTTGACTGGCACCAAGTCAACAGTCTTTGATATGTTAACCATGTTCCATCTGTAGAGTGATTGGCCTATTTTTTTGTTGGCTATGCAAGCTATGTACATTGTAATCCTCAAACTGATTCCTTTATTATTGTCAATGTTAACATTTATTAACTGTTGTTCATATCAAAATATCTATATAGAAATAAACCAGCTGTTTAATTTTTTTCTTGAAATTGGTGATAAATGTATGCATTCAGTATTTAAAATTCAAAGTCCAGAAAGCATGTACATTTATTAAAAACAAACCTGAAAAAAGTTACAGAGTGGTTAAAAATCGTTTTGTTTGTCACTCAAATGAACTGTTGCTCAAAGCTGTTGTCCTTGGGCCCAGTCAGTAACTATATACATGTATATTTTACTACTATCATGTTCACTGGTTAATTGCTTGAGTTTCATCCCTCAAGTAATACTTTAACATTGGACTTAATATGCTGTTGGAGCCAAAATTCTCAGGGGGTATTGTGATACTTACTCTGTCATGTAAATATACATGCCATTTTTCAGTCTATATCTCTCTTGCTAGAGTTTGAAGTACCCTTTCAGATATTTCTGTGACAGTTTAATTTAGTAATTCAGTATCTTGTTCCAGCAAAAATAGCTTATTTTGCTTATGCACATTGACAGAATTATTATATATTAACTGCAATAAAAATACAGTAAAAATTCTGAGTGGTAATTTTTTCAATGAAATTAAAAAAAAAATCATCTCTCACTTACTTTTCTCTGACTACTTTAAGTTTGTGTTCATATTTATCATAGTCTATGTATGAATCCTGGTCAAACTTGCTCATGGCAACCTGAAATAAAAATAAAATTCTCCTCCTGACTGGCACAATTTCATACAATTCAGAGATGTAGTATTTAAGTCATAATGAACATTTCTATATAAACATTAATATTTATGAAAAATTTACATTTCATTAGGCATTACACACTTTTTTGTTGTTGTTGTTCTATGTTTATTTACCTGATCTTTTTTCCCTGGGTGGGAATACCAGGGATACTTTAGCCAGTCAATCAATGTTAGAAAATAATGTAGCAGAAAAATATACTCAAAAGAAATATAAAAAATTCTACCTTTTTGGCAGCAGCTGCATTTGTTCCATGGAAAAGTCTCAACTGGGCATGGTTGCCCATAATACCCTGAAATGGAATAATGTTAGAGAGAAAAAAATTCTTCATAAATAAGCAAGTTATATTGCAGTGGAACATACAGTACTGTAGATTTAAACAGAAAACATATGTTATATGTTTTAACATTTGCCTTCTTGTTTTGATATTAGCCATATTAACACTGTCAAAGAGCACTGACTTCCCCTTCGTAATCTGGATGATTAGGTTCAAAGTAAGATCTCCTCCATTTAGCATAGTATCAAATATACGAATATTCTAATATTTCTGAGAAACATTACTGAAACATTTTTAAACCCATTTCAAACTCGATGCATGACCTTAATTAAAATCACTGCTTAATTTTAAACATATCGATGGACTTGGATTAAATTTGGTTTGGTCTGTTCCAGGAAAAAAGAATCATTAGAATATACAATAAAAGTACCTTTTTCAGCGTGTGCCGTAGAAGACCCATCTTTCTATTTTCCTCTGCAGTTCTCCTGCAGCAGTGAAGGACAAATCAAAGAGTGATTACAAGGGAAGTAACTCAAGATCATAACTGTGGATAAGTCGTACTTCAATGAGTCTGCATGTGTTTATAAATTGTTTTTTATTACTAGTACTAGATTTCTTTTTTTTTTTTTTAATTATTTGAATACAGGTGTGAATCCAGGAATTTTTGCCGGGGGGGGGGGGGGGCTCCCAGTCAAATAAAAAAGAAGAAGAAGAAATTTCCAACCCAGATATTTCTTGACAAGCCCCCCCCCCCAAAAAAAAAAAAAAAAACCTTAACTACTTTGTTATTAGAATTTGAATCTAATTCGTAATTTAATGTGATTTTTTCATCAGGTACATGTAAATGAAGTAGCAAGAGATAAAAGAAATAAAGAAAATTATTTTTAAAAAAATTATTTTAAAAAATATCAAAAAGGGGGGGGGGTGTTACAACATAGAATTTGAATTATTCATCATCATCAGGGACCTATATATTACTCTGATTGGACTTACCTAAAAACTTTAATCTAGTCACCCATTCAAAAAAATGTAAGTCAAATCCAGGATCTGAAGCAAGTTTGAGAGTGTTCATCCCTTGATGCATCATCAATGCAAGTTTGGTTCAGATAGGCCTTATAGTTTTTTGGTAATGGATCTTCTCCAAAAACTTTAACTGGTCACCCATCTGGAAAGTGTAGGTCAATCCAGAATCTTAACTTAATCTGGTAGTGTGCATCTCTTGATGCATCATCCATGCAAGTTTGGTTCAGGTAAGCCTTATAGTTTCTTGGTCATGAACCTGCCACAAAAACTTTAACCTTTTAACTCATCTGGAAAATTCCTGGTGTAAGGGAGATAATTCAAATTACTCATCACTTCTCTGTTTTCAACATCTAGTATTTTTATGTTCTGTATTGCGGTATGTTCATGTATTTTCTTGTCCTCTTGAGTGTTACAAAGTATGCTTGTATCTATGTTATGCCCCCAGTGGGACCATGATTGGCAAATAAATTCTATTCTATTCTCTTCTTTAGTCACTTTAGAAAGAAGCTGCTCCAAAAACTTAAACTTGGTCACTCATCCAGAAAATGCAGGTCAGATCCATCTGAAGCAAGCCTGATAGTGTGCATCCTTAGATGTATTATCAATGCAAGTTTGGTCAATATAAGGCTTATAGTAACTTGAAAATGAGACCTGCTCCAAAAACTTTGACCTTCTACAAACACATTAACCTGGTCATTCTTTAGCTGTAATTGCAGCATCTGAAACCTTGACTGGTACAATGAAACATACTAGAACCATCTTCCATGCATCTCTGATTAATATAGGGCATAGAAGTATTTGAAAAGAAATCTGCTCCAAAAACTTTAACTTGGGATGCCAATGCTGAGGGTATTACATAAGCTCTCCCAACTTTGTTGAGGTGAGCTAAAAATTATTTCTGTAAACAATGTTCTCAAAACTATGAATATTCTAGGTTTATATTTATACTGATGCTCATTCATTGACACATGTATATACAGTAAATGTACTGATGATTTTTAAATTATTCACATTGCAATGCACATTACACTGTACTTCTGTAAAATCATACTGTTCATGTTTATTAACACTGTATTGGAAGACAATTAAAGTGGACTGTTGCCATTATTGAAGAAATGGCAATTAAATCTCAACACCAGTGTTAAGTATGAAATTTCCACATTTGATCACTATTCAGTACTCGGTGTCACAGAAACACGAGTCCTGTAACTGGAAACTTTGGATAAGTTGACTGATCTAAGCACTAAGTTCTGGATTCCAGAGGTAGCTTGCTTGCAAGCTCTGAGTATTCTCTTATGGACGTAGACGTTGCTTTACTTTTGACTCCATTTAAACTTCGAACCTGTATAAAGATAATGTAAATGTATTAATTAATCAGTATATTTTTCAATACGGTATCTTTATCATTATGGAAGATAAAAAGCTGATTTAAAATAAAAATATATAATGTAATCTAAACAACAGTTAATCACTATGGCATGAAGCATTAGTCAGGATTAAATTATACCATGGTTTTGGTGTCCAATTCCCCCTGCTTCTGTGCTAGTCCCCAAAGTTTAGCTGCCAGGGAAAATAAACTCTGCTCCCTTATATCTCCATGAGCAATAATTGTCTGGAACAGCTCCAAGGCAATGGTACATTGTCTTTTGTGCATCTAGAAAAAAGAGGAGCCAAGTCCATTCACAATTTCATTAAATATGAAGGTAAGTTTCTGAAAATGTTTATACATGTATTATGTTTCCCCCCTCCCTTTCCATATTCTTTGTTTCTAAACTATGGAAAGAAATCATTTCAGACATAAAAATCACCATTAAAGTGAGCCTGTAATATACATTTTTTTGATCAAAAATAATATAATTATACCGACCCCAGACTGTGCTAGCATTTTTAGATGGTTTAAAACTTCCTCTACCAGTGTGCTGCACATTGTCTTTATTTCATTCAGAAATTTGGGGTCTGATCCATACATTGAATCATTGGCATCAACTGGAAAAAAGAAATGAAACAGTATAACAGATCTGATTAAAATCCTTTAAATTTCCACAAAACTTCTGCAAATAAGAAAATCCTTTTCATTTTCTAGTAAATACATGTACAAAAGATTGTTTAATTTCTCTCATTTGTTCTCAGAACAATTGTATAATGTTCTCTCTGTCCAAATTATATCCACAACCCATTATAGGACCCTTTTCACTCAATTATTACTCTATGTACATTTACATGTATCTCTACCATCAAAAAGATATAAAATCCCATCCTCTACTCTCACTAAAAACAAGTTCTTCCTGCATGGAACATTTATCAGCCCTCTCCCACTCTTAAGGATAGTGTTCTCTGTTTACAAATGTCACTATCTGGTAAGCAGATTTGCTGTACAGACAAACAGATATCTTATTTACCTTTGTCTGCATGATAGATGTAGGAGTCTTGACTCATGGCTGACAATAAGGCTAGGACCCTGGTGTACACCAAAACTTTGGCATCTGATTGTGGCTCCCATGTATAATTCTGTATGATGTTCAGGAGGCCACGTAACAAGTATAGCACCCCTGCATCAGGGTTGTCCTATAAATTAACATTCCCATGAATATGACAACAATTTGTCCTAAAGTACAGGTATCTCCTTGAAGTACTGATAATAAAACTATAGATCTTAGTGTACACATGCATGTTAAATTCTCATACTAGAGCTTTTAAAAGTTTGAATATCTTTATAAAGCATAGTTTCTTTTTCTTACACATGTTAAAAAGGAACATGAAATCTTACAGGAACAGTTAGTAATGTAGACAGGAAATTATAGATGTGTTCCACCAGCAATGGCTCAGTTGATCTAGCTTTGTTTTCAACTTTTAAAACTTTAGGAATATCCGGAATAAGAGAGATGAGGGCCTTATAGAAAGCATCAGCTGAAAATGCCATTTCAATGGTGATACACTGTTCTTTGATACAATATACCCAGTATAATATTTTACAAAAAAAGCTCTACATCCTAAGAAAAATCATAGAACCAAAAGCTACACCAATCTAATGGTGTCCCACCTAAAACATGATTATTAATAGCTCAGAAAATATTTTTATGAATTCACAAGATTGATGACTACATTTGCATAATGATGCCAACATCAGCTGACTGCTAACTTCCTGTCACATGGTACAGTGTATATCAGTGAATAACTGATGATTGACAACACACCTTGGCTGTAGCATTGATTTAACAGTGCACACTGTCCAGATAGAAGATATAGTTGTAATTGTGCCATCGGGGACTGCAGAGAGGGAATGGTGATGAAACAGTAGGCAGCACAGGCCTGAAAAATAGGGCCAAATTTTGGTCAGTGATGCCATTTTTCTAATCATGGTATATTTATATGTTTAAAATGAATGCCTTACCGTATAGGCAGAAATTTTAGCGAGGATTTAATTTTGGCAATTTTAGCACGGGTGTTGAGATTGCTAAAATTAAATATTGCTAACAATTTATTACGCATTAGAGGTAACCGTTATCTTTCTATGCACCATAAAATCGCTAAAATTACCTCTCGCTAAAATTAAATACTGATTTTTAAGGATAAATCGCTAAATTTGCGTCTCACTAAAAATTCCACTTATATGGTATTTTCTACATGTAGATCAAATAAAAAGTTCAGTATACCCTGACAAAATTGCCTGTTTTTCTGGAGTGGTTCCCCTTGACCACTCTTCTAGTCTCCATGGATAGATTGTTTACATTCTAGAAAAAAGTACAAAAGTCACTTTTTTAAATCTTGGTAAAAAGGTTATCCAAGGAAATACTCAAGAACCCTTACTTTTCAATATGTTTTGCAGACTCTTGAAGTGACAATTCGGAAAACACACACACAAACGTAAGAGAATCTGACCTGTATAAGTTGAACCAATACTTGATCCAAGTTACTGAATGAGGCTCGACACTCCACATAAAAACTAAGCTGTTGTTCAAAGTCTCTCCCAAAGGAGATGTTACAAACAAATCCACTGATCAGGTTACTTATCATCTTCCTCTCATCGTCCAGTGTTAAAGCACTGAAAGATGAAACAGAACGCAAAATACAGAAACTGAATGCACGTTACAGAAACAGAAAAAAGGCTACATCATAAAGTTATTCAATTTATTTTTTAATTCGATATTGAACACTTCAAAATGAGTATTGTAAACTTACTTGACTGAATCATGCATGGTTTTACAAATGAACATTAAGGCATTAATTATCACAGGGTCATTAGTTGGTTCCAATTGATATCTAAAAAAATAAATTAAAAGTATGTTGTAATAATTGTTGATCTATTAAAGTCCTGGGGTGAGTTCTAGGTTGCAGCTTGAACCATATAGGGATAAAAAGCCTTAATTTATACAGTGCATTTAATAGAGGATATCTAGTCTAGTAGACTAGCTGCTAAGATCTATAGCACAGCCCTGGATTCATGTATGAAATGGCTACACTTCTGTTGACTATATAAAATAAATATTTGAGGTTTTCCTTTAGAACACTT